CTCCTGCGACCCGACCCGGCGACCACAACCGACGAGGAGCCAGCCGCAATCCTTCTACTCCAGTGGCGACGACGCTGACCTCCAGCGAAGCAACATGCACCGAGGAGCTTCCAGCGCCGGCGCCGAGCAGCCCGACTCCGACGCCATCTGCGTAGACTCCGGCGAGCTCCACACTCCGGCAACCTGATAGCGCGTCTTCCTCCTCCCGGCGACGCTGACCGGACGCGAAGACCAAACCAGCGTGACCAGTTTCTGAAATTGGGTGAAATTCCCAAATTGCCCCTGGTTATTTTCTTTACTTATGTCTTTATTAGTCATTTTACTCCCAATTTCTTTTACTCTATATACACTCCCCTAACTCTAATTTGTCAAGTGAGCTCCCCCATTTTTATTTCATGTTCTTAACTAGGTTTTTTGTTCCAGCTTTATCATTTTCTTCATAATGCCATTTTATTTTGGGAGCTCCAATATCTAGATTTAAACTCTTACATTTATCTTCTTGTTTCTTAATATTAGTCTTTATTTTCCTCATCTCTTCCATGCTTTTTCTTTAATTTTTACTCTCTTATCTTTTGCGCATTTTTAGATTAAGCATGCTAGGCTAGATTTTCTAGCTTAGGTTAGGGATGAATTGTTGATTTATGTTATTGTCATTGGATTATTGTAGATTGTGAGATATTGCTCTAGGTTGTTTGTAGGAATTATGCTATATCTATGCTTGGATGTTATTGTTAGCCACGATGGCATTCTTGTATTTCGGAGTGTATTCTAAATCACCGAGGAAACGGGATTTAGAACCTTAGCCGTGTGTCTGTACTCTCAAGTCCTACCACGGAAGTGGAGGCTACTTGAGGAGCTTGTTTGATGTGTTTGTAGTTCTCTTGAGACGAGCACCACGGAAGGGAAAAAACCCATGTATCCCACATCGGATGTGAAACTCTTCAACTTCCTCTATTTATATGCTAGTCTTAATTAACATTGTAAAAGCAATTTATGGAGGGAGAACCAAGGGAGCACTCGCGAATGTGTGTTGGTGTGCGCGTGCGTGCGCGCGACGCGTCGTGGCAAGGGTGTGGGCCGAACCCTTATCTTTTTACGAGACCGAATCGAACACGTGTGAACACTTCGTTAATAACAAGTGACAGAAATAATAACATGCATCCATATATCTGAAGAATCTCTGGTGACTCCTTGGTTGTTCCGCCTAAGCTATCCAAGTTCGTCGAATCCGCCCAAGACATCTCCGAGGTGAAGAATACACTCAAGAATTATGTGCGTCCAACATTCCTTCGCTTTTATTATCCGATCAAGTATTCCGGCAAATACTTTTCGTTCGTCAGCACAAGGTTCTACCGCTCTAGATCTTATGTGTTAGCGGTTTTATCCTGGGAGGAGATCGTCCACGTTAGTCAGTGCGAGAGGCGGGCGATACTACCTTAAGGAAAGCTTCGGCGACTTCGCTTTCATTAAGACTTTTTTTTCCAGCTCTGCTCCTTCGTTCCTGTTTGGTCGTTCCTGTTAAGGCAGTTCTGTTGATCCCAGCAAGGCGTAGTTACTCCGTCTTCTTTCTCCGTCCAATTTTCCGAACAACTTCGGATTCCATTAATGTTTATTTTCTTTCTTCTTTCATTGTAAAATCCAAACAAATTATAAGTTCAAATTATTTTATTTTATATTCCCATTGTAATACTTGTATCTGGTATCAGAGTCAATTACTTCTTTTTTTCAGAGTATTGTCAGGAGCCCCAGGCCCAAGACAGCCTCATATTCAATTTTGTGGTTGATAATGAAATCACACCAGCCGCTCTTCTTGAATCTTTCCGAAGCATGTGGGCACACGACCAAATAATCATTCATAAAAAACAAATATGAGCACGAGATTTTTCTACCAAAAGCATCCTCTAACTCACTGAATGAAACGGGAGCCCTCACAGCCACGTCTAGACCATTTCCTTCGGGAATTGCAGCTTCTCCCACCGCCGGTAATTTGGCATATGCCATTGCAATCTTTCCTTTGTCATCAAACGCGCAAGAAAACACCATCTCCTTCAGGCGTTGCATCTTTTTTTGGAACGAAGACGAGAGTAACAGAAGACTCTTTTTTAATCTAATTTCTGTTACTCCCGTCTTCTTTCCAAAAAAAGATACAGCGCGTGAAGGAGATGGTTTTTTCTTGCGTGTTTTATGACAAAGGGAAGATTGCTATGGCATATGCCAGATTACCGGCGGTGGGAGAAGCTGCAATCCCGGAGGAAATGGTCTAGACGTGGCTGTGAGGCCTCCCGTTTCATTCAGTGAGTTAGAAGATGCTTTTGGTAGAAAAATCTCGTGCTTATATTTGTTTTTTATGAATGATTATTTGGTCGTGTGCCCACATGTTTCGGAAAGATTCAAGAAGAGCGGCTGGTGTGATTTCATTATCAACCACAAAATTGAATGTGGGGCTGTCTTGGGCCTGGGGCTCCTGACAATACTGTGAAAAAAAGATGTAATTGACTTTGATGCCTGATACAAGTATTACAACGAGAATATAAAATAAAATATTCCGAACTTATAATTCATTCGGATTTTACAATGAGAAAAGTAAGAAAATAAATATTAATGGAAGCCGAAGGTGGTCGAAAAACTGAAGGAGGAAGATGGAGTAACTACGCCTTGCCAGGAACAATAGAACTTCCTTGCCGGGGACGACCGAACAAGAACAAAGGAGCAGAGCCGAACAAAAAAAATCTTAAGGAAAGCGGAGTCGCCGAAGCTTTCGTTAAGGTAGTATCGCCCGCCTCCCGCACTGGCTAACAAGGACGATCTCCTCCCAAGATAAAATCGCTAATGCATAAGATCTAGAGCGGTAGAACCTTGTGCCGACGAATGAGAACGATGAAAGGTATTTGCCGGAATACTTGATCGGAATGGAAGCAAATGAATGTTGGACGGACAGAATTTTTGAGTGTATTTTTCACTGGAACAAGACCTCCTTAAATATGAGATGTCTTGGGGGGGATTGGACGAACTGGGACAACTTGGGCGGAACAACCGAGGAGTCACCAGAGACTCTTCAGATATATGCATGCATGTTATTATTTCCGTGTCGTGCCGAGTCGAGCCGGACGGGCGGCGGTGCACGAGGGCTCCCTTGGTTCTCCTTCTACAAATTGCTTTTACAATGTTAATTAAGACTAGCATATAAATGAGGGAAGTTGAGGGGTTTCACATCCGATGTGGGATAGGTTTTTCCCCTTCCAAGTGAGCGACTTTGTGAATAAATTTCTCATTCGCCCGAGCACCAATTTTGGCGCACAATATATCGAAATACTCATCTCACTTAGAATAATATTCGTCTATAATTATTTTTTAAAAATAATTCTGTGGACTCTACCAAATTTATCTCCAAAGTTGTCCTGATATGTGTCAATATTCCAACAATGCCATCCATTCTTTGATTGAGAGCTTCAAGGATAGTGCTAAAATGTTGATAGATGGTATTACGATCATCAAGGATGTTCGCGAACACTCTAGATTTCTTTGTGTTTAGTTAATGAGATGTGAAATCTTGAAGTATTTTAGTACATAATAGCTTGTAAATCCAGTACATGTTCTATCATACGATTGCTTTCTAGCTGCAATATCTCGTGTTTAGTTGTGTGAATTTTGGATGATTTTTGAACCATAACTTGTGTTAAACAACACATCTGTTTTTAGTTTTGATGTCTGTTGAGAGGGACAAGTTGGAGGGAAAAAAATATTGGTGGGATTCACTTCTTAAGAATCAGTGTTTAAGTTTCATTACGTATATTTTAGATTTCTATGTTGCGTTATCATCTTCATTGCATTTATTGGCAGTGGAGAATCTCTAGTGCAAGGAATCCGTGCGAGCACTTGCGAAGGATCTTGGATATTGAAAACAGGGGACTTTAAAGTTGCCTGTGCCAGTATACTTGGGTTATTCAGTTCTCCCCTTCACATGCTCTTTGGAGGCACTGCTTTTTATGGTAATAAGTTATTCCCTTCGTGTTCACGGTTTCACTGACCGGCCTCCAAGGGCGGTTGGAGTGAAAAAGATGCGAGAAACTGAATGCCAAAGGTCAGGGAGGATCACTATCTACAAAGTTGGGGAAAATGAGTAATGGATGTTTGGGGGGAATCCTACTGCCAAAGGCTGGGGAGAATCACAATCAAGAAGTTGTGAAAAGACAGCGGTGAATGTTTGGGGAGGTTCAACATCAGGAGGTTTAAGTTGGGGAATCTGCAGAGCAGAAAAGTATCCATGGAAGACCTGGCGCAGTGCTGAAAAGTACTTAATTGCCTTCTTGATCTCAGCCCTATTTTCTTCTTCACGTCCATGACTATAAAGGTACTCCATTAGTAAATGATTGAAAATTTCTTTAACCATCAATCTATATGAGTGGATGAATGTTCTATTGCAACTCATTCCGATTTTGCCTGCGAAACATGAACATCTTGCTCTTAATTGGAAATTACTTTGCATCTTCTTCCCCTACTCCATATCTGTTATGTTTAAGTGATGTGAATATGTGGCTTGATCTTATGTTTTTTGACCTTTTTGGAACATTGGAAAATGCTAACCCACTACTAGAGATTATTGGGACTTCAGTTGTTTTGCACATATGTTTTTCATTGTTTTCCTTAATACCTATTTGACTAATTAAAAGACGTACTATGCGAGGCAGCCCATCCCACAATAATGAATGATGTGGTGAATGTTTTTTTTGTGTTAGTGGGCAAAAGCATAGAAGGAAATTAGAATTATGGAGACATGATCTCCATAATTCTCTGACAAATCCATTTTTGCATCCTTCTAGGCATAGGTAGAAGCTGCCAAATTTTGGTAAAAGGGGTGGGGGATTCTATTCGTAATTTACAAGTGTTTGAGTTAAACACATGCCTCAACTCTTCACTTTGATTTAGCATTATTGTTGTTAAATACCCTACCCCAGTGGTTGTCAGCCAGAGTCTTCAGCCTATATACATAGTACTCCCTCCAACATTACTAACCAATGCCAAGAAACCAAATTCTTGCTTGCAGCTCACTCTAACCCTGATTTTGTCATTTTTTTTTCAAACTTGGTTTGCCTCCCATTTAGCACAGAGTGCTCTTTAGTGGCATCCTTGAACTCCTGTAGTCACCCGAATCCCATGCCCAGCTTGAATTTGAATTGCTTGCTTGCACATCTCTTCTTTCTTATAACCCTCACTCTCTAAGCTATCATAATCACTTTCTAGGGAGTTCATATCATGATAGAGAGGTTTGAGAAGATCAATTCTTCTCATTGAGCGTAGGGTTTGCTAAGAACTTGTAATATTAGTGGCTGAAGTCTTGGAAGAGAAGTCTGAGCGGTTGAAATCTTGTAAAGGGTACATCTACGAACAGTTGTAAACGGTTTGTTAATCGCCTGTAAGCTTAACAAGGTTAATGGAAAACTCAAGAGTCGGACACATATTATAACGATTAGTCCCTAAAATAAATGGAATAATGAGAACTTGTTTGTTTCGATCCTCCGAGTAACAAAAAGCGTAACCACAGAGAGATCCAAATGTGTTTATTTCTCACTCTAACGGGAGAACAAAATGCAAATTTTCCCCTTTCTCAACAATACTGTAGTATGTCGATGGTCGAAGGAAGCAATGAGAAAGTTTCTATGTTTTCAGTAGTGTAATGCCATCACAAGCCAAAGCCCCTTCCAGACCTCCAATGATTCGAACAATCCTAACCTCAAGCCCTCTTTGGACTTCTTTGAAGAGTGCTCTAACGTTGTCAGCAAACCTCTTCATGTCAAAGAGGCTGTCTGGTCTGTCGTCGACCTCTCTGAACACTCCAACAAACACGGAGCCAATCTTTCTCTGAATCTCCACCAGTTTCTGCCCTGTCGCAACCATGTATCTCTGCAACTGAAATGTCTCGTCAAGAAAGTGTTCCAGCTTCTTCGTCTCCTCCTTCCTCCTTCTACTTCCCAACCTTTCTGTTGTTGTGTCTGCCTCGCTTTCGTGCTATAACCCACCCAATTCAAAAACACAAAAAAAAAAAACCAACGATTTAAGATTCTTTAAAAAAACAATGTGCACGTAAAATGTTTGAGATAATGTTTGAATAGGAGCTTACCATACGCCTGCAGAGATCGTCGATCTTTTCCTGAAGAGATTCGTATCTTGACAATTGCTTATTCAATACGGACATAAAGAGGTAAAATCCTTGAATGTTCAAGCGAACACTGTTGTTGTCTTTTTCAAATTGGGCTTGTTTTCCAGTCAGCCGTTCGAGCATAAGAAGCTTCTGCTTCAGCATCTTGATCTTGCAGGAGACTCCAAGAGCATGAAGGTTCATCTTCCACGTTGGCGGATTAATCTCAGCATTGGATGGAAATGTGTCGCCTATTATGCCCTTTTCTTGGGGGAAATCCGGGGCATCCCTTGAACTGTTGTTGTTCAGAAGCTGTTTTAAAGAACCCAATTCTGCTTCGCGATTTGAGAGAAGTGATTCCAGCCTCATCTTCTCTTGTCTGAGATGTGCTGCTTCTTGGTCCATGGCTGCAAAATGGGATCGGAGTCTTTTAGACTCCATTTCCATGCTGAGTAATCGCCATCGGAAGGCTTCAAGCTTCTCATCCTTGGCTCTCAGTTGTTCTGCAAATGCATCGATTTCCAGGTGGTGATGTCTTTGATCAAATGCTGCTGCTGCTGCTGCAGACCGAACCCAATTTTCCAACTGCCCAACTTCAGCTAAAGATTCTGTACAAGAATTGTCTAAGGTGTCATCAACACATAATGACCAATATAATCAAACACTTACTACATGCACTGTGATAGACAAAGAAAACCATGGAATTCTTCATAGGTGCATCTTTTTCCTTCTTGTTTGGCTCAAAATTTGCATTACTTACAAATTACTCCCTTCCATACCTTTTGGCAAAGAAATATACTCTCTTTTTAACAACTTTCTTCTCGATTTTACATGGAACACTTTTTAATGACTGATGAAAAAATGTTTGACTTTCCATTTTTTCCATTCATGGTATGTTAAATAAAATTGTTTTACTTGGCTCACTTTTAGATCTTTGCCAAAACAGCGATAAGAAATGTGCAATAAATGTGTTTTACTGCCCAGAAAAGAATATGGAGTAAGAATAGAAAAGAGAATATTGTGGGGTTTGATTCTTACTCTCGTGATCCTCTCCTGAATAGTTGTCAATTGCAGTAGGAGAAAATAGATATGGATCTTTATCACACCCATTTGATTGCAGAATCTCATCCAAGAGCAGTCCCTTACCACTGGGAATGACATCAAGCTTTGAATTCACATGTTTAGGCAAGAGATTTCTTAAAGATGATAGCTTTTCATGCCTTGGATCAGAAAGGAGTTTCCATCTCTCAGTCTCTAGCTCAGCTTGCTTTCTCTTGGATTTACACAGTTTCAGTTCCTTCAAAAGCATTTGTTTCTCGGACGCATCGAGTTTGGACTTCCTAAGCATGGCTGACAGGATCTGGTCTTTCTGTTCCAAGTCCTTTTTCACCTTGACAATGTCCATGGAGAGTTTCTGCACCATAGACAAAGACTGTTCCTTTTGCTGCAATGCCAGAGCAAGCTCAGCCCTCAACTCTTCTGCAACACTTTCTGCCCTTTTCAATTCCTCTTCAAGATTATTGGATTTCTGTGTTTCTTCTTCAATGGTCTTGTCTTTCGACTGCAAATCGGATTCTTTTTCATTCAAGCTCTGGAGCAATTCCGAAATGGATCTATCCTTTTTGGTCGCGAGAATTCTCAGTTCCTGCATCAAAGCACCAATGTGCTGTCTGAGTTTCTTCCTTTCTGTAAGCCAGACCTGCTCCTGTGCTGCATAAATCCCAACAACTCTTTCGTTGGCTTTTGCATCTTCGCTCCTCAGTTTCTTCAACTCTTCAATTTCTCTCCGGGCATTTCCCAGCTCAAGAATGACAGCAGAAACCTTTCTGTTAGCCTCTTCCTTTTGAATCTTCCAAACCAGAAACCCTAAGAGCATATTACTCTTCATCTCAGGCATGTCCCAATTCAGCAGGAACCTCAAAGAGGAAAATGCGCATGAAATCCCAAAGAAAATTGGGCATAAACTCTCTCTTTCTTCAACAGACATAGAAAATGATATTCACCTGACAAACTAAAAACAAGAACAAGAAATTACAAGTGAAACCAAGAAAGAACCAATCAAGAAAATGAAAGGCAATTCATATCCCACCTAAAAGATGGGAGCTTTACAGGAAAAAAACCCAACCCAATCAAGGAAAAGTTTAGTTTGATGACAAGAATGTTGGAGAACCAGAGTAATGAGTTGGAAAAGAAAAATTAAAAAAAAAAAAGACCAAACTTTTAACCTTTTGAGAGTGGCAGACCAGGTTTCTAGTGTGACCTGTTTGTCCAATATAATCCACCAGAGAACGCCAAATGCGTGACTCTCTACAAGAGAAAGTTGTTAAAGCAGGAGGAAATAAAGTGAAGATAATTGTTCCTAGTTTTCAGATTTTTTTGCTGACACATAAAACCCCACTTTTGCTGAGTTTTTCTCATCCAAATCACCCCCCAAAAATCTGTTTATTTATTATTGTTCTTCTTGCGTTGTGGCAGAGGGGAACAAATGCGTTGGTACCATTGTAGGCCTGTCGCCATTATTGCATTTTCCAAGAAATATCCACCTCGAATTATTTAAAATATTGCCTCTGTCCCTAGCATAATTTAGAAAATGATTTGATATTTATTACGAGGTATTGGAGTTTAAAAATCAACTCCCTCCTTGTTTGCCTTGTCGCATACTCCCTCTATTTCTAATTTATTGTTCTCAAAATGAATGATTAAAATTTGTTTTAGAAGAGAAAGAAAATCTCTGTGAACTACAATTTTTTTTGTTAAAAAAATTATAGAAATAAGACAATTATTTTGAGATTAGATAAAAAGAAAAAATAAGACGATTATTTGGGACTGTAAGCAAAATCATACGAAAAAATCTCAAAATATGTTGTTGAGATTTATGACAACAATAAATAATAATCCGTACTTTCTCCATTTTTTCTTCCCAGTTAATATTACGATATCTCGATATATAACTTATGTTTGTTAAGCATTCTTGATCAGCCCAGGTCAGGTTCGGACCCCACATGGGTGACAACAAAGAAAATATCATATTCTTATCATATCTTATTTTGTATTCACTATGTCCCACTTTAGATTACAATATTCCCTTTTAATTGAAATTAAGGAAGAATCAAATCAAATTTTTTTTCCCAAATTATACCTCAAATAGTGTGAATAGTGGCTGGTAGAAAAGAAAAGGGGAGAGTAAAAGAGTCAAATCACTATAAAGTTATTGACTTTGTAATCCTTTTTGGGACAAAAATGTAAGGGAATATTGTAATCTATTTCGGGACGGAGGGAGTATATTTTTTACATCGGTGAGATTCTAGTGACACTCGAGTACAGTGACACTCCCGTGTAACTGTCATTTTTGGGATACTTCTGATGCTCCGTTTATAAAATCGATGGTTCCTACCCCCCTAACAACCCTCCTAAATCCTCTAGCCCAGTCCCACCCCAACCCCCTCCTAAGCCCCCTTCCAAATATGTGGCTATTATGCAATGCATAATGCCCAAACATTTGGAGTGAGGCTTAAGGGGGGCTAGGGTAGGGAGTTTATGGGGATGGTTAGAGGGGTAGAAACCATTAATTTTACAAACGGAACACTAGAAGTACCCCAAAATGGGCGAGTGTCTTTCGTTGACACTGGATTTCAATGTCAACGTAACCCCTCTTTTTACGCTAATGTTAGTATTATAAAAAAAGTTATCTGATGACAGTCTTTAGTGTTAGTGTTATCAGAATTAATATATACGGAGTAATATTCAAATTTTATACTATGGTTACGGACTTACGGTTAATCACTTAATCTTATTTTAAAAATGTGAGCGAACTCTTTAATTTGGGCATAGAAGCATATATTCAACATTTGTAGACAAATTAATTGTTACTCCGTATTAATTATATCATGGGTTGACCCCTTCGAATGTTGGCAAAATTTACCGAGCACCTAACATACAAATGAAATTAATAAACATGTGCTAAATTAATGTGGAGATGAACATTTTATTTTCATTTAAAAATAAATAACTATGAAAAGATTCAATAAATATTTGTAGACATTAGATGCATCAAAGACTCACTCCTTCGTATTAAACTTATATCTTTTGAAAAATAGTTAATAATATGTTCAAAATTCAAAGAATAATAACAATAACAATAATAGTAATAATTATTTTAGGGGAGTAATAAATACTCCGTATATAATTGTCCCTAATTATATATGCACATTAAAAACAATGTCAAATCAGGTACTCATCATCATGTTGTAAACTACTCCCTCCGTCCGGAAATGTTCTTCCCGTGTTGACTTGGCACGCTTATTAAGGAATAGTAAAAAAATGCAAAATTTTCAAAAATGCACATACTATAAGCTTTTAAATCTCCTTTTATTATTGAAAAAGTATTTAAAAAGTAGATTTGTGATAAAATAGAAGGGTGTTATTCATATTTAGCCTTAAAAAGTATACTAAAAAAAGGAAATGGAAAGAATATTTCCGGACGGACCAAAAAGGAAAATGAAAAGAATATTTTCGGACGGAGGGAGTAATTAATTGTGTTAAATTGACCTAAAAGAGGCCATTATTAAATATGGTTAAGTGGACAATGTGATTGAATACCTCACCCACCCTAAATAATTGTGGAGTAGGAGATTACTAATACGGAGTAGTATTAATTAATGTGTTCTTCTACGTCTAATTCTCTAACCAGCAAAGACTAAAAAATCTACCTCCCACATCTCATTTGATTTCGCTCGTACCAATACCTGATGCAATGCATAGTAGGCCTGAGAATAAGATTTCGCTTAGCTTTAACATTTTAATTAGATTGATTTTTAATGATGTAGATTAATTTTAAAACAATATCATTAGATATACTCCGGTAAAAACAAATATTTTTCAAACGCTAAATCTAAACGTTAAAATTGTTACCAACAAATACACGTATGGACTACGGTCTATGGAGTACCTTTTGGAAAATACTATTCACTCCGGTTATAAAAATGTTTCCTGTTTTGACTTTTTTTGTCAAATAGTGATACACTTTGACTATAAATTGTGAGAAAAGTATACTTCATTATAATATATATTCAATATAATTGGGTTCATCTTAGGATATAGTTTTGATGAAAAGTATATTTTCTTTTTTGCTCCACTATTCTTTAGGACAACACTGAGAAATAACTATGGATGTTTGTAAGAAGCTAGGTATAGTTAAAAATGAAGTCAAATTTGGGGTACATTTAATTAGGATTTTTATTAAAAATTGTTACTCTGATGAATTGCTATTTTAGTGAATTGAATTAAAGCAATTATTTAATTAATTAGACATTTTGAAAACTTGTTATAATAATAATAATAATCCGTAATTATAAATTTTGGCATATAATTATGCATGCATACTCGTATTAAAAACAATGTCAAATCACTCGTCATCTTGTTGTGATCTGCGAGTAGTTGTGTTTATTTGACCTAACTATATAGGCCATGAAATATGGTTAAGGATTGAATGTCCCACCCACCCTAACTAATTAAAACATCATTACTTTAATTAGTGCGTCGTCTTTGATTTCTACGTTAATCCAATATAATCACATTTGATTTCACTTGCACTAAAGGCCTAACCCCTCGTGGCAATGCGGATACATATTGTTAAATTTGCAGTGCGTGGGTCAAGAATAACAGACAAATTGTCGAGTAAAATAAATTATTGGTATATCAAGTCAGAAACTACAATTTATTCAAATGCTTAAATTGATAAGTAGATCAAATCGAGCTCCATACATATATATTGATTATTTAATATTTGACTTTACAGAGTTCAGCTTGAAAATAAGAAAATATTCTCTATATATATGATATATATATAAGTTTGTTTGAGAAAGAAAAAATTTCGTGAAGTACTATACATACATTTAGAGCAATGCTAAGTTCACAAATAAAATGATTACAAAATTCACAAATTTATTATTTATGATTTAAATTCTCATTTTAAAATTATATTAATGAAATTACTTTTTTATATGTATTTCAAGCAATTTTTTATGTGTTCATTGAAAAACGTAACGTTTTAGACGGGATTGATTTAAAACCAAATGAATTTGGGAAGAAGACTTAATTAGGACTGAATTGCCATTTCGTCCGATCCTATACGACGTACCAATTATGGATCGAGTAGGTCAAATGGTGGAGGTGATATGCATGGAGAGGATCATATATCACCCTATATATCAGGTCAAGATGTCAACTAGTACCTACCCCAATCTTGTTGATAAGCTTGGATATGGGTCCCAATTTATACCTAGTACAAAAACAAGATGGGTGATACTTCACTTTTTTGGTGAGTTAACTTTACCAATGAAGGGTCAGTTTTCTCCGAGTGTCATGTCTCTTGAGGACTAATTGAAGAGAATTAGCTAATTTTTTTAACTAGGTGAAGATTTGTACGAGTATAGAAATCTTCACGATTTCATTTTGAAAATAAAATTAAACTAAACTACTGGGTGCCTTTGAGAAAAATAGAATAAATAGTACGTGTATAGGACTAGACTTCGGGCCAAAGTATTATCTGGGTTAACTAGTATTATCACATATTTAATCAGTAATTGGAAGAATAATATTTTCTTTTACAAATATTTAATTAACTTATCCTCTCTCAAAGTATCATTAATGTGTTCTAAAAAATTTGTCTTAATTAATTTTATATCTTCATAGGCAAGGCAAAAATTAATTTCCAATAATTCTAGAACAATTATTCCAACTATTAAATACACATACAGAGTATATGTCCAAATTTAGCCCAGACCCTAATCCAGGTCCTAACCCATACTAAATATTAATAGTGCATGGAAAAAAATATTTTATTAAAATTGTAAGTATTAAAACTTACGATAGCAGAGTCGGAGCCACTTTGGGACAAGCATAACAAATCTTAACCAAAATATTACTCCCTCCGTCACATAAAACATGGGATGTTTTGATTTTTGAAGAGATTTAAGGGGGGGTATATTTTGGTATTGAATTTCCAAAAATGTCATTTGATGGGTAGATTATTAGTAAAAAGGTATGATGTGATAGGTAGGGTATGAAAAAGTAAGGGGTAAAAGTAATTTTTTAATAGAAATAAGGAATGTTTTTTGGGACAGATGAAAAAAGAAAAAGAAAGGTTTTCAGGGACGAAGGGAGTATAATATAATTGAGAAAAGAGTGGAGGGGCCTTAAAGACCCGGAGAGGAGGTGATGAGAAATGGAGGGGCGAAGCTCTTTTTTTATAGGAAAAACTTTCGATCCTGGCCCCTGGCAGGCGGGGGCTTGTCTAAGAGTTTGGGACCCCATAAAATTCTGGATCCACCTTTGCTTTCATCACATCCTAGTGACAAATTTTACTAATGTAGACAAATGTTTGTCTGAACAGAAAGATAAAACTTGTTGCGCATCAAAGATTGTGAAACCCGTATTTACCAGTATTTTCCTTTGAATCCTTTCACAAACTTTTACCCATTTTTCCTCTTTAGATGTCGCAAAAAAAACATTTTTACTTACTTTATTGTTTGTAATGAAAATAGGAAAAATTACCCAAAATAATCCCAACTTTACCTGGTTTTTCAAAAATAATCCCACCTTTCACTGTGATGCATAATAATCCCAACTTTATTGAAATTTGCCAGTTTTGGGTCGCCGTTAAGTTTCTAACGGAGGGTTAACGGAAATGCCCGTTTTAGGCAACAAAATGAAAGTTGGGATTATTTTTGATGAATTTTTGTTTTCTAACTTTTTTTGAAATTTTTATTTAAATTTTTTGAATTACTTTCAACCTCCATTTCTTTTTTTTTAAAGATTATTCTTACCTTAGAAAAAAATAGATATAAAAAATAATGAAAATGAGAAAAATAACTAAAACCATACAAAATTAATCGAATAAATAATGTAATCAATAGAAATTAAACAGAAACTGGTAAGAAATAAAATAAATATATATGGAGTGGTAGGTTTTAACATTTTACACACTATACGGAGTCTTAATGTAGTACTTATTTTTTAAAAGAACAAGCTGTCTGGTAAAGTTGGAATTATTGTAGATAATTTTTTCTAAAAAATAAGAAGTGATATGTTAATACTTTGTATAATGCGTAAAATATTAAAACCCACCCGTATACTTTTATTTTACTTTTACCAATTTCAAGTTAGTTTCCATTGATTACCTTATTTATTTTATTATTTTTGTATCATTTTAGTTACATTTCTCATTTTTTTCATTTTTTATACTTATTATTTTTATTTTTTAAACTAAGACTAATCTTTAAAAAAGGAAAAAGAAATAATGATGGAGGTAGAAAGTAATTAAAAAAATTTAAATAAAAAATGTAAAAAAAAATAAAAAAAATGAAAATTCATCAAAAATAATCCGAACTTTCATTTTATTGCCTAAAACGGGCATTTCCGTTAACACTCCGTTAGAAACTTAACGGCGACCCAAAACTGACAAATTTCAGTAAAGTTGAGATTATTATGCATCACAGTGAAAGGTGAGATTATTCTTGAAAGACAGGGTAAAGTTGGGATTATTTTGGATAATTTTTCCATGAAAATATGACACCCAAAATTTCTCTCTTATTTAAAAGTTTTTTAACCATCCAGTTTTCATTTTCTACCACGTAACACCTTTTTGAAGGCTTGCTAAAGTCATAATGGTTTGCAAAATTTTGTGAAGGAGGGTCAACATGGCCTAAGCAAAATCGATTTTTTTTGTTTTGTTTTTGGAAATCGCTTGTTGCATCTTGCAACACAATTGAAAGCTTGAAACCCTAGTTTCAGTCTGTACTTTCTCCATTTACAATTATTTGATTATAAGGTTTATTTTTGCAATTCTGAAGCTGATAACAACATCGCCACAATGGGAACCATCAGTGAGCTAAAGATGGAAGAGATGCCGTTGCCAGCTCTCTTCGAACAGGCACGGAAAATTCATTATGCCGCATCTGAATCGATGGTGGATCAGGTAATTTCCTACCCAGTAACGCTTTGGTCTATATATCCCTTTAAAATCTCTCGTTTAAAAAAGTAAGAGTGGTGTTGATTAGAACGCCGTTTCTCTCATTGGTGTTTGGATCGTTAGGAGACGGTGAAAAAGGGATGCGAACTGTCAAGTAAATGCGAGGATATGATCAGCAAACTAGGTCTCTTCTCATCAAATGAGAAGAAAGATGATATTAGCACTGGGAATCTTAAATATCTTTTGGTATGCCCTTAATTGGAGATTCGAAACTTGAATTAAGGTTATGTTCTCCATATGTTACTTTAATTTGTTTGGGAAACTATATTTAATGTATTCTATGGGTAGAAAACTTTGAATGTGCTTGAAATTAGTACATTGATAAATACTGGTTATGCTATTATTTAGAGAAGAAAAGAAAGTGGATATTCAAATGCTTGTTAGAGAAAATTGGTGTTTAAATGCTCTTTATTTCATCACTGCAGGTGCCATATTATCTTGGTGAATTACTGGAGAAAATATCAGAGGGTGATAGACTTCAAGTTCTTAAAGCTTCTCAGGCTAAGTTAAAGGTGAAAACTTGTTTTTGTTGAAAGTTGATATTTTTGCATCGTGGCCAAATTTATAAACATTTCTCAAATTTGCATGTCCTGACCTATCCATGTAAATGTTTGGACTGATAAGTTCTCCCTCAACAACTTCAGGAGTTTATTGCTTTTTGTGAGGCAATGGAGCTTCTTCCCGAAGATGAATTGGAGACATCGATTCCAGCTGGTCCAAATGGTTTTGCAGATCGTAGAGCAAAGAAGGCATGCTATATCTGTATATTGCAGCATCTTATATGACATCGTTATTTGCTAAAATGGTAGTTTTAGATGATTATTCACTCATTCATGATTATCCCATCATACTGGTACAGATTGCACGTTTCAAACGTCAGAAGGAAGCAGAATCAAAGTTGCTTGAACTGAAGGAGCGGAATGAACGTCGTGGCCGTTCAACTAGAGCTTCTGCTTTATCAACTCATGTTGATGTTGGTCAAGAAGATGAACCAGATGAAGATGGGGAAGAAGGAAGAGAGGTTAGTCACTTCTGCCTTTACATTCTGGCATGTGTTAATGAACAGTATAACTGAAATTGTAGCTACATCTCCAAATGTTGCAATTAAAGATTGGTCTATTCATTTGCTTTGTTAGGCATTCATGTTTTTTTGAGAATTAATTTCTGTGAATGATTTTTTTTTTCTGCATTACTGAAACTCTTTTTCGAATCCAGGTTTGGCTTGCTACCATCTCACTGTCTCTTTGTAAGGTTGGTCTCAATTTTCAGTACTCATGGGTTTGTTGTGCTTTTAGATTGTGAGTTAAATTTCTAACTCCGTAACTGACATTGCAGGCTATTGATCTATTAGAAATGCTTAGGAAAGAGGAAGAAATGCTCTCTGCTATAAAGGAAAAAGAGCTTGAGGTATGGATAGAATTGAAACATTCAGGTTTCTTGGTCATTTTGTGTGAATAAATATAGATTTAAGTAGTAGTTGAAAATGGTATGATTGGATTTCATTACTATTGCGGGGTTTTGCACTCAAGAGCCAAAGACCCAAATTATGTTGTCCCGCAAACCTCTATCATATTTTTCCTTTAAAGAGGGAATGCCTATGATTTTAGGTTCTGGATTATTTTCACTAATTGATTTGACTTCTTTAATTCATAGTTTCAATATATGGATGTGAAAATCAACAACTGATGACACTTATGCTGCAGGAAGGGCAAACACAGATTTCACAGGCAATTCTTGATGAACGCACAATAAAAGCTGAGGCCTGGCATCGTGATGCTGCTGCACGGTCTCAATACACCAGGCCAGCAAAACCTATCACGTGTGCCACTTTTGCCCAAGATGTTATAGAGGGGAGAGCAAATGTGTCACAGATGCATGAGCATAAACACCAGCCCTTAATATTTGGACCAGCTAGCCTGGTTGGCAGGAATCCTACTACTGCTCGAGAAAGAATGGCTGCACAAGTTTTCCAGCCTCACTATAGGTGCGTACTATGAATTAAGTTTTGACTCAAATAGAAAGGTGGTCTATTACTATTATTAATTATTATTGTTATTATTATGAATTTAGAATATGGAACTTGAAATGTTAAAGGAAAAGAATTCCAGACTTGCCCTGATTGATATGCAACATATCCAATGATACAATGCAGGGGCAAGCAGTAGGGGTATTAGGCCCCTGCCAACCCCTAGTTCCATGAATTTTTTACACGTTTTTTTTCTACAAAATTTTTCATGCATTAATTATTCTTCCAGCCACCGAAGTACAATTTTTGTAGCCTTGCCAACAATCTAATGCTATGTTTGTAACTAACGGTTGACTAAAACTCTTAGAATGCCAACAATGAGCATAGAAGAAGCTGGGTTAAAAGAGATGGAGATAATGAACAAATGGCAAGAAAAGAATGTCAAGCTCATGGAAGAAGCAAGTTCATCATGGTACAAGGAAAACCGGCCATCAAAGCCAAGCGAAGAAGAAGATGATGAAGAAGATGAAGATGCTGCTGAAGAGAAAGCAAGGGCATGGGATGACTGGAAAGATGACAACCCTCGTGGTGCCGGTAACAAAAAACTCACACCTTGTGGCTAAAAGACTCGCAGCCTTATGTTTTTTTTTTAAAAAAATCACTACTGCGTCTTCTTCTAGTGACACCAAAACCCCCCAGCCTTTCCATGCATTGCCCTTTTCATGTCGGTTCAATGGTCGAGTGTGGAGACTCATTTTATATAAGTTAATACTCTCTGTACGAATTAGGCTTTTTGGGTGTAGGTGGGCTAGGAGATGGTGTTTGTATAGGATTGTCATCTCAGTAAATTTTCTGCACACTTTCTACAGGACACCATCACAATAACTTGATACGACAATAACTTGATACGAGTTCAGACTCCATGGCCTAGAGCTGCCATCCCGTCTGATCATGTGTTTGAGATTTTCTCTTCTTTTGTCATTTTCAAATTTTGTGCATGAATTTAATTTCCTACCCTTTGTTTCTTTGTCACGCCAATTTTTGTACAGTCCTCGTAGGGCCAATCAAGGGGTAAGGAATCTATTGTAATGCAGTGAAAGTTACGGAGTAAAAAAATAAGGACGTTACGTTCTATAACAAAATATGGAGAGACCCAAAAGTCATTAAACCCTATGCTTTTTCATAATGGTAAAGAAAACTTGGAGATTTAACATGAGAAAGTTGCCATATAATGTGCTTTTCTTCTTGCTTTGTAAAGGTATATAGAATCGCTTCTTCAATTTTCAAATTTGGCTTAAAAAGCGATGCATTCACCTCCTATGACCCAAAGGCCATTTGGGGCCTGTTTGGTTAACCAAAAAAGGATTAGGTTGGGTTGAGTTCCTAAGCCATATCTTGTTTGCTTTCGAAAAAGTGTCCCCTAATTCTCACATTGCTTTTAAATCGTCACACGACAAATAAAGAGAAGTTGACAATGAGAGCTTCAGACTAAGGCAACCTTACTTTTATTGTTCGACAAGAATTAAAACCCCTTATTTTTCAATACAAACTAAACCCTCAATATTGACTCATCATTTTTATCAATCACAATCAACTACGAGTGTCTTCTGTGTGTTCTAACGTGATACCCGAATTTTAGCCGTAAGTCCTTTTCTGGATAGTTAGATGAACAAAAATCATACTTAGATTACACACTTGAGAACATAGGTGCAAAGAACTCAATGCATATCAGTGCCATTCAATGAAATTCTCATACATTGTTGGAATACATATTTGTAGTCTTCCATATACAGAATATTATACAGAAATCCATTTATATGTGCATATAGATTACAGCATCATATAAGAAAAAAAGGGTTTTGTATGTGCGTGTTCCATCACCATTGATCAGCAAACACAACTTGGCATTGATGAAAAAACAAAATAACATGTTCAATCAATGCAAGATGAGAAAAAAAAGGGTCAGCTCAGCCATCAATGCATTTGAACCCCCTGCAAACCCAAAGCCAGACAATGAACAACATGGTGCAGACGATAAGGTCGAGGGCGAGAACCACCCACACTTGTCTCTTCCAAACTCTCTTCGCCCTCTGGTGCCCCAACTCGCCGGAATACGCGGCGCTGTTCTTGTGCATTGACACAGAGAAGTCCCTGCTCAGCCCCGCTGTGTCGCCGTTCTCCCCCAACAGCCTCTTCTTCTTATTCTTCTTCTTCAAGTTGTTTGAAGCCTCGTTGAACAATGGGGTTGTCCCCATATTGCACCCACAGGACAGAGAGTCCATGCTCCCAGTGCTCTCATGGCTCATCTTCCTCGGCGAACGCGGAGGCTCCTCGGTTTCAGACATTGAAGAAGCGAGCAACCGGTGGAACACCGGATTGAATTCCCCCTGGAAGCAATGCGAGCCAGCCTGTTCCAGACGCTTCTTCGCTGAACTCACCTCCGCCAGGAAGACGTCGAACTCCTCCTTGACGCCCCTGAGGAACGCCAGGCCGTCGTGTTTCTCCATCTTCTCCTCGAAGATCGCGAAGTAGACGAAGGGATTCTCGATCAGGAAGGCGTAGGAGCGCCCGCGGACGGTGTGCGTGTACATTGAATGAAACGGCGGCGTTTTCTCGAGGCATTTGATCGCCAGAGATCCGAGATCGGCGTCCTCGGAATTGAACTCGGCGAGGACGGTGGCGTGCTTGGCAACGCAGGCGTAGCGGACCAAACTCGGATCCGAAATCATCATTTGAATCCCTAGAACTAACCGGATCCAAATTCGAATGCGGATCAGAATAACAAGTCAGCGAAGAGCTTGGAGATGTTCCCCTGCCTGGAGATCCGAGATGTACATACAGGCCTGCCTCCTAATCTCTTGTATATTTTTAAAAAAAAACGCATGAAATCGAGGAGATATATATTGGTGAAATGTAGAATCTGAAAGTAGAGAAATCGATCCTAATAATTAATTAGGGTTGGGGGAGGAGAGAGATTGCGATCTCCGATGATGGAGATGAGCTGTGAGATAGGGCCATAGTCGAAGAAGAAAATGGGAGGAGGGGGAGGGAGGGAGGGAGAGAACGATTTGACTCTTTTTCTTTTCTTGTTTTGACACCATTCACACCAATTTGACTCTTTTTCAATCTTTTACAACCCCCACCCCCACAAGCCAAATTCCATTCTTTAAATTCATATTCAATTTATGAATCTTAATCTTTTTATCTATAAATGAATTTCTTATTCACTATTTAAAAAATCAAATTTTATTTATTTTATTTTTCTATTTTTAATGTCTATTTAATAAAATAATATAATCATGCCACCTTAAATTTTGTAGATCTTTTAATGTAATTTTTAAATATGTAATTTTTATTTTTTTAACTGCATGCTATTTTTCTTATAAAATAATTTGAAAATAATTTCATTCAAACATCGTAACATACCGTGAGAAGATTATTGTTGGACGGAGACGGAGTATATAAATACTTTATATATGATCAATAAATTCAACCCTATCGTTTTTTTGAAAGACAAAGGGAATATATGATCAGATAAATTCAACTATTCAAGAGATGAATCCTTTCAACCGGAAAACAAAAGCTCATAATGATGCTTTTGCAGTGTGCTCTTACATGGACTCCATGTTTGTTTTAAATTCAATAAATCAATAAAAATAATCTTCATCTTTATACATAATGCTACAACTACAATAACTTCATAAAATATTCTCCTTCAAAGAAAAAAAAACAACAAACACATAATTGCATAAACATTGTATGTAGCAGCAAAAATTGCCAGAATGCCAGCTTGGAGTGGGCAAGGAATGAACCAATTAATCTTCTTTGTATGATGATGATTTTACAAAATCAAAGAGATCTTTCTTTCTTTCTTTCTTTCTTTGATCTTCCGGTATACCATATACTGGAGTATATATAGTACTATGAAGGGGATTTTTATTGGATTTCTTCTTTAGTTTGGCCATCGAACGTAAGGTGGATCCATGAATGCCCACGCAAAGACTTGCTCGTACTGAACAGCGGCATTTTCCCATGAACAGTCCCTTTCCATTCCCCTCTTCATCAACCCCTCCCATGAGGCTTTGTGCTCTCTGTAAGTCCCCATCGCTATTCTAAGCGTCTGCAATCAGAAAGATTTCAAAGAACCAATAAACACTGAATGCCCTTTTATATGAAGATTGCTTTCTCGTGTCCTTTTTTGTTTGGTTTATCATGTCTTTAAGAGGAGAAAAAAAAAAAGTTTGCAGGAAACTTACGGCCAAAAGATTCTCTCTTGATAGAGGAGAAAACGTCCACCTGTTGAATGGTATATGTCAAAACCATGAATGAAGGAAAGTATCTTATTCTCCAAAGTAAATCAAACTGGGTGCCAAAAAAAAGCTTTAAAATATTGGACACTTTATAAAGTGCCATGTTTTCTGCAAATTTCTGTACAAGCAAAACAGTTAAGTATTTTTTTCTTTGTTGTACTAGTCTTTGGCATAGAAAAATTAAATCTTTTTCCAAGAAAGATTTTCTTGTGTTTGAAACAGGAGGGTAATAGTTTCAGCAATTCTTTCAACTCTTCTTTCAAAACCCTTTTCCATGAGAGGTTATTTTTGTGCAATCAAACGGATAATTCAATTAAATCAATCATCAAAGATTGCTTTTTTTTTTCTAGATATGCATACCCAGTGCCTGCACCGCTGCCATCATTAGCATATGGGTCAAAAGATTCCACAGTATCCTGTAACGTTAAGAGCGAGTGAGTGAAGAGCCTAATAATAGCAAAGGTTAATCAAGATATTTAAATGCCAAACTTACCCTTAGGCCCCCGGTGTCATGAACAACGGGCACGGTGCCATATCGCATAGCATACAGTTGGTTTAAGCCGCAAGGTTCAAATCGCGAAGGCATTAATAGGATGTCACAGCTGCACATTTAATAACAAACACCATCTGTAATTCAAAAGAAAGCAAACAAATTCCCCCTTTGGTATAAAAGATATTTAATTGATTATTACGCGGCTGTTATCCTATGTGAAATAGGCACATTGAATCCAACCCATCCTCTGAACTTATCTCTGTATTGTGATTCCATATATCTCATCCACTCCTCATATTGTTTCTCGCCAGACCCAAGCATTACCTGAAAGACAAATATAGAAATATGGAGTATATAAAGATAAATATATTAAGCAATTTGAAAGAAAAAAAAGTGGTAACACTAAAGAAACACCCACAAATTGGATATCCTCCTGCATGAGTTCTGGAGTTGCCGAGAGGATTAAGTCAACACCTTTCTGAAAGTCCAGCCTCCCAATGAATCCAACCTAATTGTTTAAAACTTTGAAGTTAAAACAGTGTCCATAAACTTATTGGGAGAAAGTTATGTTAAGCATCTCACCAACGGGCAGTCAGGTCGAATAGGGAGAGCTAATTCCTTTTGCAATGCAGCTTTACATTGAGCCTGCAATTGTGTTGCAGTTGGAGTAAGATGAAGTTATTCCCATGTTCACTAACACTGCTTTAACAAACTATAATGTTTTTTTTCTTTCAGAAAAGCCCAAATATGTATCGCCACCAACTTATAACGAGAATTACTACCTTTCCAGAGAGATCATCTACGGAGTAAGGTGAAGCAATGTGCTTATCAGATGATGGGTCCCATTCATTGACGTCAATTCCGTTTGTGATCCCACTAAGAACTGGCTTTCGACTACTCAATAGGGCATGTAGGCCATATCCACCTTCAGGAGTAGTTATTTCCCAAGAGTAACCCTGAAACCCAAAACAAATATCAAGAATTGGCGCATGAACAGTTCACGGTGGATTAGTAATCTGCTTCACTTGATGATACATTGATAAAGCCAAACATTAAAAAAGTTTGTATAGCTATCCCTATAATGGCTTTAAAGAAAAGAGGAAAAGGGAAAAAATGGCTTAACAATAGAACAAGGCAATCTCAAAGATAGGAAAATGTGTAGTTAAAAAAAATCACCTGACTAACGGTCACTATGCGGTCTGCAGTGATGATTGCACCTTTCAAAACATTAACTGTTTCCCCGGTGTCAAGGGCGTGGGCCCGTGCCCATGTTGGGAATATATATTCCACTGCCGGATACCATTCTGAAGGCAGTCCCAAATTTTTAAAGGTTCCTGCAGGCTCTACCCCCTGTTTAAAGCCGAAATGCAAAAAAAAAAATTGAATCTTCTTTACACAAGAACACCAATGTGAAGAATTGAATAAACTTTGCAAATTTCACAGTGCTTGGGCTATTTATGTCATCTTGTGCATCTATCATTGGAATTTGGAACATTATCTAAGGTACTTAAAGATGAGTAAATGGAAAAGCAAATCTCCAAGCTGCAGTTTTATGTCTAAAACATTGTGTTATATGCTTTTTTTATTTGATCATTAAGTACGTGTACATTGGGATATCGAAAAATCCAAAGTATAATGCCTAGTGCAGTGCACTTCTTAGAATACAGAATAATATCTTACTTCCTCTCTTATGGTCTGTTTGGATGAAGATTTTGGAGGGCCAAGCCAATAACATTACACCGTTATACAATTGAAAGAATAACGCAATACTACTGCAATAGGTGATCATGACATTTCAGTCACCCTTTATTCAGTTTTGGTAACATTCTAATCCGGTATTTATCAAGATTGAGACTAACTCTCCAAAGTCTTCTCCTCCAAAACCCTCCTTCATTCCAAACAGGCCTTTAGTTTCAGGCTTTCAGCCATTCACGCACTTGGAATTTGTTTTGATAATTGAATGAAAGGCAGGACTCGATATCATATTCCCGTTTTTTAAAGTAAAAAAGTGTCAAGCTTCGCGTTAGGATGTAAAATTAGGAAGAAAAGATGACCAGAAACTATACTAAAGAGATACCTGATGAGCAAGGTTATGTATCAAAATAATGCTCCGAGCATCCTTATAAACACCATGTGGGCGATATTTGGCAGACAAAAGTCTGAACAAGAAAAAAACATCAATCCCAACTTAACCTCAATATTGATGACTATTTCAACTCAACAAATCATAGTCCATTTCATTGATAACGAATTAAAGGTAATCATTTCAATAAAAAACAACAATCTGAACTAGTTGAATTGGATAATGAAAATACTAGTTGTTAGTGGACATACATAGGAACCAGACCAGCATGCCAATCATTAGCAATAAACATGCAATTCTCCCCATATGTGTACCCTCCCAAGGGAAGAACTAATGGAGCTTCACACGCTGCGTGACAAAGCAAAGTGAACCGGAACTGTTTAACCAGGAAAAAAAGCAACAACACATCAACTCCAAGCATTATTATTACAAAAAGTTACAGAGCCAAACTCCTAGTCAAATAAGGGGATTAAAAAAAGATTAAGAAACTTCACCTGGTTATCGCCAAAAGCACCATAACTGTCACCATAGGGAGTTCCCGGTCGGTGGTATGAAGGATGGTCAACAAATACCTGACAGCAAAAAAACAAACCTGGAAAATAGTCTATAGAACACTTTAGGCATGCTTGGATCTCGATGAACGAAGAAATTACAAAGGAAAAATCATATTGTTATGTTTTCAGCTTTAGCTTGAAGAAAAAAAAGATAATTAAAATTATGTTTGGTTTTTTAATTCTCTTCTTTACAAAATATCTAGGTTTCCTAGTATTAATCAATAGAAAAAGATAACTAAACGTGTTTAAGAAAATATCTACAATAAGTACCTTGTGTTTGAGGGTATCTTATATTCCACCATATTTTCTTTCCCTAGATTTTAAGGAATTCCAAATGGGGATCCTTTTATGAAATGCAAAACTCTTATGAGCAAATGAGATTTGAAAAACTGTAATTTCTTACCCAGTCAACACCTTCCCTGTACTCATGAAAGAAAGACACTTCCTGCTCGCCATCAGCCCAATGGATCTTGATTTTCTTATCAAGGTCAACCAAATTCTTAAATTTTTTATCAGAAAGTCCACCATACAGATATCTAGGAGAGACAACCATGACTCGATGTCCACGACTAGCCAGTGCTATAGGCAGTGACCCACAAACATCCCCCAACCCTCCTGTTTTGGAATATGGAGCTGCTTCTGAGGTAACAAAAACAATGTTGTATACTTTTCTGATTTCTTTTTCTACATCTTCTGTCCCTTCACCAACACTAGATTGTTCATCATCAGGAGACTCCGGAATGGTTTCACCTCCTGTCACTGAAGGTATTAAACCATATTTCATTCACTTAGTTATGATTAGCTTACATAATGAAGTAAACAGCAATTCAACAATAATCTTAACTAGAAACCAGAATCAATGAAGAGAATGTACACTCCCAACTCCAATTTCACATACTAACAGCTAAAACTTTGATTTTTTTTCTACTTTCTTTTCTACATCTTATTCTTGAAAGAAATGAGTGGAATTGGAGACTGGGAAGATATGAACATACCAGAATCAGGAACCAAATGAAACCCAATTACATTGCCAGACCCATCTCTCTGTGTGCCCAACAAAAGACCCTTCTCCTCTACTTCTTTTCTGTCATTTTCTTCTTCCGGAACAAAGGAGGCGTCTTCTTGAGACACATTTCTTGCCGTGCGTGGCCTCCCAAGATTCAAAGATCGGATTTTTAATCTTCTCTGACCGAAAGAAGATAGCCCCACCTGCCCAGATACACTACACTGCAGACCCGTCCTTTCAGAGCAGAGGGGAGACGGTTTGCAGAAAAGCATTGCCGAGGCCCGTAGAGCCTCCATGGGTGGAGGGTTTTAGACAGAGAAAGAAGATTGAGAGAGAGAGATCAGAGGAATGCTGATGAGACGCAAAGGATCTTTGATTCACTGATTAAAAGAGAAAGAATGGTGAGAGAAAACAAACAGTGACAGTGCCGCTCGCATCCCAGATTCGCATATGAATGCACATGTATCGATATGGTTGTGTTGGAAACGACGTCGTTTGGTTGTACAGTTGCCGGTTGGTGATTTTTATTTTAAGGAAAATTTACCATGTTTGATTCAAGAAATTTGGAAAGTAACGAAAATAATTTTCCATCAATTTTCTCACCAAAATGAGTCCCTTCCGTTAGTATTTTTTTGTTTTCTTATTTTTTTTCTTTTACTTTTCTTTTTTCTCTAACCAAACAAGAAAAATATTTTCTTTTTCATTTTTTTTCATTTCTTTCTCAAATTCCTTAAACCAAACATAGTCTAAAGAGATATGCTAGGAGTACACCAAAGGTGTACCCCAAATGTACACCACCCCCCTCTTTACCATTCATTTTATTTTATTTTATTTTTATTTTTTATTTCTTTTAGAAGTTTTCTTGCCTTTTTTTATGGTGATGAATGGAGTGGGGGATATTTGAGGTACACTTTTGGTGTACCCCTAGCATTTTCCTAATCTAAATGTCTACTTTAACTACAATTATTCAAACAAAATCTCAAATATTTTTGAACAATTTTTTTGTCATTAAATATTATTCAAGTACTATTTAGAAATAAAAAAATTTAATATTATTTGGTATAAATTCCATTTTATTTTACTGAGTATTTTACTCGGTAATACAGTTCTTTTTTTTTTTTTTGTCTTTTTAGTTGCGGACATTTGGCGGCGGGGCGGGAAAAAAGTGGGAGCGACAGCGGCGGATGGGTTGGGTGTGGGGTGATAAAAAATGGACGGCTGATTTTCGTTGTTGTTGTGCCACATAGTGTATGCTGCTAATCCTTGTCCGTCCAAACTTGGTAAGATATTTTCTTTTCCTTTTCTTTTTTAATTTCCAGTACGAACCACCCAAATCAGTATTAGAATTATGAGTAATAGTTATGGGTGATTACGGTTCGTGACGGTTCGGCGTTTTAAAAGAACCATATCGCACTGTTGTTATTTAAAGAGCTCGGTAGGATTTTTCGTTTTAGTCTAAACTAATTTGGTACCATGTCGTTCGGTAATATAGAAGATGGTACCATGAAATAATAATGCCAAATTATTTCATAATACTTTCACGCTTTGAAAATATTTTTATTTATGACAAAAAATTGACGTAATTAAAAAAAATCGATGCACACATATTTTTATGCATTCTTAGTTTCTTACTGAACATGTGTATTATTAGTTACAATTTTTTTAAAAAAAATCATCATAGTTCATTTTTCAACAAATTAAATTATAACTCGAGTTGTACATAGAGGTAATGAAGTATTATAAAAACATAAGTATGTGAAAGTCACACCAAATAAATATCACCTAAACATACTAAATTAACAAATGAAAATGCATAATAAACTTATTAATTTAATAAATCGTATTTGCCTCTTTTCGTATTTGCCTCTATTCGAATATTTAGATATTATTCAAATTGTACATGCCTCTATTCGTATTTGTATTGTTTAATATTTGAATCAAAACTAGCTGGTATTTGAATTATGCGAATTTGAATCATTATATTTGAACACGAAACACAAATCAAATTTAAAGTGTTGATTTGTTTACATCCCTAGATATGATATGCCACTACTTGTAAAAGAATCTTTTTAATTCGTGGTTGGAGATCAGGAAATATACATTTAATTAACAAATATTGTATCAGATCAAAGATGTAGGGCCTGTTTGGAAATAGCTTTAGAAATTAGCATTAACGTTTTGAAAAGGTTATCTACGGTAGCATGTAGTGTAGCATTTTAAAAGTAATTTGTACCGTTGAAATTTTACCTAAAACAATGATGTTAATCTCTAACGTTATTCTCAAACAGGTGAGTAAATAAAAAACTATTTTTCGAAAGGGACATAATTAGATCGAGAAAATCCTCTGATTATCAGTTTTTAATACAAAATTATTCATCATCCATCCATTACTTCTCACTTGATTCTGGACTGCAATAACTGGGCATCCATTTATTATTAGTATTATTACTAGTATTAGCTTGCCGTGCATGCTTTTTCGGGTTTGGGCTTCTCGAGCCCATCGGATGACGAGCTGGTCCACTTTTCGTCGATGAGTTCCATTGGGCTGGTGGTGCTTCACGAGCCCTGTTCCGCTCTTGGGCCCGGGCCTTTGCTTTAGCGGATTGGGTCGGGGCCATGAAACTCGGTACGGATGCTCGTCGGTGTGCATAGGTCGTTGATTTCGGGCTTAATTCGAAATTGTTGTATCGGGTCGGCTTTACGGGTTCGGAGCGTAACCACCGGCCGGAAAAATCAATCTCCACTCTCTTTTCGCTCAGCTCGTCGGTGGTGGAAATGGTTGTGAGAGACGGAGAGCCTTGTCGTGGCGGCGGAGACTCGGCTGCCGCTTGTGAAGAAGACAGCCTCCAGCCCTCGAGCCAACTCCGTCGCCGCCATTGTGGCTCCTCGTTGCCGAATAAAAACTCTGAATGACGATGTTGATGATGATGGTCATCTGCAACAGAATTGAAAAACTCTTGCTGTTGGTCCTGTTACAAAAGTGAGAGGCATTTGTTACAAAATTTGACATTAGCAAATATAATAAACTCAGGGGTATACCAAAATCGGGTGCCAGACACCAGGCAAACAGGGCTAGGGAGCAATTTTGAGCTTCAAATTTGTCCACAAGCAATTTTACGTGTCTGTAAATTTATTTCAGCATATGGCGTATGACTTCAAAGTGTAAAATGGGCTCCAAGAGTACTTTATGAGCTCCACTCAAATTTTTAAAAAAATAGTATTAGGCACAACACATGAGCAAAAAAAGTATATTCAACCTTACAAGTGATAAGGTATATTAGAGTATAAATTATTATTTTTGTTTGGACATACAATTACAAGTTGGAGTTTTTGATTCATTCATGGAAAGAAAAATATGGGAGTACCTGGTTAGCATATGCAGCATAAGCAAGGGATCTTTCTCTTCTAATCTCAGAGTCATAATAATGGTTTCCCCTAGAAGTTTCTGCAGTCCCCAAACTCCCATTCCCAAGGCCATCATCGTCTTCCTCGAGCACCTTCTTCTTCTTCTCTGCGGATCTTCCGAGCTTCTTCATCCTCTCTTCCAGCAAGTGCAGTGATCTCTCCATGGACACTTCTTCTTCTCCCACACTCTGCTCCACTTTATTATAATCTTCTTTATTGTTATTATTGTCTGCTATTTGCACCCTTTGGGCTCCCATTGTTCCCTGTACCCGCACCAGAGATTGCATGCATTGCATCGTCAACAACGCCTTCTTCCTCACCTTGTTCCCCCTCACCAGTGCTTGCAGCCTCACCAGTGCCCTCAGAGCCCGCAATGCTCGTCTTGCCTGTTCCCAATATATGACCCAAAATATAAGATGACCCATTTTATCAGGTGTCATATAATGACACTGGTAGAAACTTTGATAGTTCCTACCCCGATAGATTCTTGCTCTCAACACATCCTCGCATTCCCTTTGGATATAATTATTGCACTCTCAAAATTTGTTGTTTTTGGGAATCAATTTTTCAATCCCAAATTTAACAAAATTTAGGGTGCAATTTGAGTCGTGCAGGAATCCAACGGGACCCGCACGGGCTGAGATTAATTAAGAAATGTACTCCCTCCGTCCCCAATTTGATTACTATTTTTTTTTCTCTCTCCTCTCGATAACTTTTGTTTGTTTACGCGATTTCATCAAGTATTTGATAAAATAAAATATTCTTGTCACCTCTTATTTTGTAGAACTTTTGACGTAATTTTTTAATATGTAATTTTTATAACTTATTGATATACCAATTTGTAAATAAAATGATTTCAAAAAGTAGGAAATTTTACTCCGTAACCCGCAATTTGTAATCAAATTGGGGACGGAGGGAGTATGAGTTATTAATTTTTCAATCAAAATGTTTTGATGGGAGCTTCAATTTATTGGTCAATGTCATAATCTAACATTACAATAATGTACATGAAAAATTATAGTATTGTAATTAAATATCACAATTATGAGTCTAGCTGGTGGGAATTTTGGTCCACCTTTAACACGATCCTCAGTCAGTATCAATATAACTGTGGTGTTAAAAAGATTCTGTTTCCATGGCTACATAAATTTCAAGCAAGCAATGTTTGTTACTCTCTCCGATTATGAATATTTTTTTATTGGCAAAATTGACAAGAATACTCCCAGAAATTTCAGATTTTACATAAATACTCCCAAATTGGTTTATTTACATCATTATTCCCACATTTCTCTTTTATTTACATCATTACTCCCAAATTTGGTAGTGATTATTAGTGTTACTTGGATATGTCTTTTTTACATTAAGTGAACAGTTAAAATGCAGACATATATTTTTTTTTCACTCTGATATACCAAATTCACCTCAACTTATTCTTTCAATCGTCTTTATCACGTCTTAGTAAGCTTAATCATTGCCCTTATTTCCTATCACTTTTTTAAAAAATTCATATTTCAAACTTTTTAAATATTTTTAATCTTTAAAAGCAAGTCTGTTCATATTAATTTAATTTGATTTCAATAAAAAAAGGATGAAGGACCCCGTATAAAGAGACGCACCTAAAGAACACTGATGATGAAACAATCGCGGAGTAACGACATAAATAATAGACAAATGTGGGAGTAACTATGTAAATAAACAAATTTGGGAGTATTTATGTTAAACTTGTAATTTCTGAGAGTATTCTTGTGAATTTTGCCTTTTTTATTTTTGATATTTTTGGTTAAAATCATTAACTTTGACTTCAAATTTTAATAAAAATAATATTAGATATAGATATAAAAATAATTTTGTTAAATTTATTACATAAAGTATTTTGAAAATATTATTTTATCTAATTAATATAAAACATATATTTTAATTAATTATGGGTTAAAAGTGAAAAAGAGTTTACCTAGAAAAATTTAAATGAAGTGAGGTACGGAGTACAAAGAAAAACAATACTTGGCCGGACGTACAAGATACCCTCTGTAATACGACTGAATGCGCGTGGCAGCTCTGTCCGCCTTGGACTGCCGGCTCCCTCCCCCCGCAGCCAACCGGACCACCACCTCCGCGGCTGCCTGAGCCGCCGCTGCAGCGGTGACCAATGCAACGGAGATGGCGGCATGGTTATTATTAGGATCTTCTGCGACGGAATCGTCGTCGTCGCCGTTGGTGAGATCAGGGGATGTGAAGTAATGCTCGAGTGAAACCACCTCCGGGGCTTCATTGTGATTATTGTCATTGTCTTCCTGGAGAAAAATGGAAATCAAAATAAATAGTAAAAATAACGTCCCGTTAATTAATTAAATAATTAATCTCTAGCTAGCCATTAATAAGCATGATGAATATATATATATATATATTAATTAATTAACCTTGGGGTGATGGGGAGAATAATAATAATCCTTGTGATCAAGGGACTGTTTGGAGAAGACTTTCTTGACAGATGAAAACCAGCCATTCCCCTTCTTCCCCATCTTTTTTTCTGGCGAATATGGCCTTGTAATGTTTTGAATTTTGATAGAGAAGGAAAAAAACAGGGGGAAATGAATTATTAGTAGGGGTAATAAGTGCAGAGGTGGAACTGGTGTGTGTGTATGGTTGTACGTTTCCCTCTTTGGTACGGAGTATTTATCATTCTCACGTTACCCTTTTTTTTCCTTTTTCTAATTTATTTAACTTATTTTACCTTTGCTTTGTCCAAGAAGTGAAGAAGATACTTTATGCCCATTTTCCAACAACTTCAGTGTTTAACATTTAATTTTAATATTTTCAAATGGGTAACGAAATGTCGAAATTAGATGTGATATGACTAAAATATTTTATCAAATAGATAATGAAATTAGGCCAACAAAGTAAATATAGTTTAACTTTATAAACAGAGAGTATTATTGTTGAACAAATGGAGTATATATACACCCACAACAAGCAACCGCTCCTGCCCATTGATGATAATAAAAAAAAGCAGGTCACGGAAAGAAAATAAAAGTGATCAAAATGTCACAGTTTTGTAAAGTAATTGCATTATTTTTTGACTCCCTTGATTGTTATTTTAACCCGGCCGGTCGGCCGGCCTCGTAGATTTGAGTGATGCAGGACAACCGGGCCCGGCCTCGGGCCTCCAATTGAGTTAATGAATGTCAGGAGAAATTGATGGTGCAGTTTGGCCTCCGCATTCAAACACACACACACACATGTCTTTGAACTAATTTTAATGCAAAAAAGGGTCACGGACGTGACCATTTTACACAACCACCCTTGTATGCATCTTGTTCTCTTCAATAATGAGAATGATGCGTAGTTCTGCGGTTGACATAAAAATATCACGAGAAGTGCTCGGAAACCTAATTTGGAGTATCCTAAATGTGCACTAAGCTAAAAATAGATATACGCAGATATTCAATATTTGTGAGTAAAGACATTAAATTTTGTGCTTAGCTTGCACGGATATTAAGTGCATGTGTGTTGACATATCTTAGTTTTTTATTAGTTAATTGGTGGTTAGTATGTTACAAGTTTGTTAGCAGGGTTGTTATTTTTGTTCTTGTTTCTAGTTTTACATATATAGTGAGACTCTCCTTTGTTGAACTAATCAAAGAAATTAACATCATTTTACACATTACAAAGATTCACGTCTTCTTCATCTTTCTTTGTTCATCTGATCTCCATCTGTGAAGAAGCTCAACACTATGTGTGCATACTTTTGTCTTAGCGTACATATGGTGTACCCCAAATGCTGTTTTCAATCATTTTCAAGTGTTACAACACAGAAATCCCCAATTCAATAATATTATATTTTTGCCGCAAATAAATTTCTTTCCCATAATTTCTTTTGTCTTATTTATGTTTTTTTTGTCAACTTATAGAGATTTCGATCTTTTTATCATGTATTTTAATGACATGTTAAAACAAAACACATTTTATAATTAAAACTCCTCTCATATCTATATAAAATTGATTCGCACCATGGTGGTTCACTCAAACTTGAGGATAAACATTTCCCTAGCTATCACTCTTATCTTCCTAAAGAGGTTCTCAACTCTCTTTGTATTTGGAGGGTAAGAACGAAGACTCTTATCTTCCTAAAGAGGTTCTCAACTCTCTTTGTATTTTTGTCTTATCATTTTTTTCCTTTTAATTTTCCTCTTACCAAACAAGAAAAATAAGTTTTCATCTCAATTTTTTTACTTTTTTCTTACAAATTCTTTGAACCAAACATAATGTGAATAATCCCAATCTTTGCACACTTTCATATTCTTTTGTGTAGACCATTCTATAAAAATCTATACTTCTCTAATATAAAAAACTTCATTTTCTAGAACCATCCAGTAAAAAAGGGGACTCAACAATAGTAAACATGGGTAGATATTTTTTTTCATCGTGCACTATTATATGACTTGATTGCTCTTAGCATTTTGGAAAGACTATTTCAAGATAGCTCTTAGCATTTTAGAATTAATCTAAATGATCAAAATTTCGGTCAACCCACAGTCAAGGCTGCATTAATCATTTAATCCTAATCCACATCACCTCCCGTCATTTCCCATTCAAATTCACCAAGCAAACCTTTCTCATCTGGCAATGTCAAGTTAATTGCACCCTTAATTGACATGAACCTTCTAGCATTAGTTGATGATTTTGTCAAACCTCTTATCAACTTCATATTTTTTTAATTAGATTACATTTAGATGATAGACACTTAAAATTCTTAACTGAATACTCAAAAACTTTTAAAATAAAAAGAAAATTAATATAGTATATATTAAATACACCCCTCGAAGTATACTATTCAATTAAAATAGATTATTAAAAAAAATTGATAATTGGAACTTGATAAGTGAAATACAAAGTAAAATATACTCCCTCTGTCCCAAATTATTTGTCACATTTGCTTTTTCAACAGTCGCGGGAACTTTTGTTTATTTCTACATTTTCATTTGGTTATTTGATAAAATAAAATATTCTTGACACCTCTTATTTCGAAGAATTTTTCCTGTATTTTTTTATATGTAATTTTTATTTTTTATTTCTTTACCAATATGTAAATAAAATGAATTGAAAAAACTTGATATTTTACCTCGGTAATAGAAATGTGACAAATAATTTGGGACGGAGAGAGTACGAGTTTGGAATATAAAATTTAGACTCTATAATTTTTTAGTACTATTAATTTTATTACTTCCTCCGTCACTAAAAGATTTTCATAGTTTGATTTTTTTAATCAAAATGTGGCACTCTTTGACTAAAAATTAAATACAGTTTAAAATAATTAAATATTATAAATATTTAATATTTTAAAAATATTTTTTAAAATAAACTCAAATTTACTAAATTTACATTGTAAATTTGTAACTAAAAATATTTTTCATAATTCATGATAAAAAATGCCACAATTTAATGCAAAAATTCAAATTGCGATAATTTTTTAGGACGAAAAGAATATAAATACGACATCATATCAATGGAGTATTAATAATTTTTTTCTTCAAAAAAGTTTAAGAAAAAAAGGGTAAATGGGCCAAAACAAAATACTGGTTAGTACAGAAATATTAACCGAGTTAGGGAGGGGTGATTTTGGATATGACCTCAGCTCTGAACTGGTCCGCCCCAATCTTGCAAATATACCCGAAAGCCATTCGGTTTTCATTTTTTTGCAGTCTCTCTCACGTGCTTTTAGCTCACTCTCCGCCCTGCCCTCCCACGTCACTCCTGGCAGCCGCCGGCGATGATCGGCGACGAGCAATTTCAGGTTTCGCTCCTCTTCTCCGCCATCCAATTTCCTTATTTTTTCATGATTCGAAAAGTCAAACATGGGTTTCTTGGGTTCTCTCAAAACGCAGGCACATTGCTCCTGCGTTGCAAACTCTAGGTCTATTTGTACTGAGGTGAATTTGGGTGAATTATGGGTCAAATGTTTCGATTCTCCCCGTTTGGAGACTTGTTTGATTTACTGACCTAATAATTCTCTCTGATTTACCCCTTTTTTGGTTACCCGAAATTGGGATAATTGATGAAAGATTATACTTTTGTTGAAAGATGGTGAATTTATTTTCTCTTAAGTCAAGTTAATTTTTTTTAATTTTACTCTAATCTAGGTTCACTTCGACCCATGGGTAGATTCTACTATTGCATGTGTATTCATCCAAACATTTTTATATTTTGATTTTTCTACTTGTTTGTTCACTTTTGGAGCTTGGATGATCTTAAATGTAGGACCGAGAACACGCGACTTAGGGTTCAATGTAGATACTTTTGCTATGGTATATGGTTCCTTTCTACGCATGGAAACTTCATTCAGATTTACAAGACATTGATTGCCAATTTTTTTTAAAGTAATAAACATTCATGTATGTTTCATTTTTTCAGTGATTTTATCTGGATAGGTTAATTATATGTTAAATTACATGGTGAAAGGCTTCGACATAAGGCCTAAATTTGTTTCTTTATGTTACAAGTGTTGTCCTTCTCTAGATTCTTGCTCTGTTCAGTTTGATCATGTTACAAGTGCGTTTCTTTCCTACATTCTTGCATAGTGTAAATAGAAAAAAATGGAGCCAAGAAGTGTTAATGCCAAATGTTTCGTTCATTCTCATTATAGATGAGTAATGCCTGGGAAAAAGAAGGAAAGTAATAGGAAAGTTGATGTGAATATGTTGTTAAATTCTCTTGTTAGTTCCCAAATGCGATTGATATATCATAAAAGCTTCAGATTTATTGAATAGTTGTTTACTTTTGGAGATTTTTGTTCCCCAAAATAGTATCTTGATGAAGTTCTGCAATTTATTTATTTGTACTACCAGATTGCAAACAATGCAAAGGCAATTGTTGTTCATGATCCATCAATGTTGAACCACGTGGGTCAGAACAATGCCTCTCCATTTGCAAACCACGGAATACAGAATGGTGTTGCAGACTCAGCTGCCTACAAAGCCAAGGTTATTTTCTTTGACTATGCAGGATAATACATTCGTCTGGAAGTTACACACACCCCCATATCCACAAAAACTCTTTTACTTCAGTTCCTGTTTAACTCATTATTAAAGCAATATTAATTGGATAGAATGACTGTACTGCAACCAAATACTGCAGAAATGTCAGGATGCTTTACAAGAGACTGGTCTGAAAGTCAAGCGGCATGAAGAAAACATGAAGTTTTTAAAGACTAAGAAGAACAGATTGGATGATTTAGTTATAGATCTACAAGGTATTTCTCTTAAACAAATATAAAAGTGTCTGTCAATTGTAAAAGGCACTACTATTGTGCTGATATTTTCTGCTTTGGTGACTCTTTTCATTGTACCTACTGACTTTTAGTGCAGTGTGTTTTTCTCATTTTCATTATTCTTTTTGTTTTTTTTAAATATCTTTTCCCAGTTGCTCTTGGAAAATATCATTCAGGAACCACTCCTGGAATTGAAAAGGATGGTCTCTCCTATGTGAAGAGCGAGGACGAGACCCTTGAACAGATTTCAAGGCATGATAAATCAGCCGCTGCAGTTTTGTGTCATCTAAAAACCCTTCATGGAACTCAAGCTTCTATTCTTCCATTAACAAAGGATGTGATTGGTATTGTTGCTACACTTGGAAGAGTTGAAGACGATAGCCTGAGCAGGTTAGTCATTTTCACATCTTGATTTGTATTTGCCCCAATCTTTTTACTGTTTCTCCCTTATTAGTGGGTCGAAAGTGGGGTTCTAAACCATTTTATCTTTATCTATGATCAGAAATTAAGCAAAGATGGTTTATCATATGAAATGAATACAACTATTTCGTAGACCATTTGACATATATGAGCCACTGGACTAATAGAGTTATTATTCGTTCAAACTGATGAAACTTTTAACTTTTGTTGATAATAGCGCATTAGTTGAACATTTATGACACATTTGTGGTCATTCAGTACTATGGCTGACATTTTCCCCTGCATCTCGGAAATGAAGGGCTCTCTCAGATTATTTGGGGCTGGAAACCATGTTAGCAGTTGTTTGCAAGACCTATGATGGTGTTAGAGCGCTGGAAATATACAACCAAGAGGGCCTCATAAATAAAGGCTCTGGCCTTCATGGACTTGGAACGTCCATGGGGCGGCCTTTGGATGGAAGGTTTCTTGTCATCTGCCTTGAAAACTTAAGGTTTGGGGTGGTTATGATGCTGTATTCTGCAACCTTGATAGATTAATTTTTTAATACCTCTAAAATCCTCCCCGACCTTATTATGATTTTCCTCTTTAGTCCATTTGCAGGTGATTTTATAGCTGATGACCCACAAAGGAGACTTGATCTTCTAAAACCCAAATTGCCGAATGGCGAATGTCCACCTGGGTTTCTTGGTTTTGCTGTAAATATGATCAATGTCGATAGCGTTCATCTGTTTTGTGTCACAAGCAGTGGTCATGGTCTGAGAGAGACGCTGTTCTATAGCCTTTTCTCACGCTTACAAGTTTACAAAACAAGGTTGGAGATGCTTCATGCTCTTCCGTGTATAAGCAGCGGGGCAATCTCTTTGGATGGTGGGATGATAAAAGGTGCCGGCATGTTCTCCCTCGGAAACAGGTAACACTAAATTACTCCGTAGTAAATGAAATTTTCAATATCTGGTTTATCTCATTGACATGTAGTTTGGTTTTTTCTTGCCACAATTGTTATAATACATGGATGAAGGGATGTAGATGTGAAATTTCCCAAGAACTTTGGAAGGTCAAGTCCCCCTCAAAACTTTTTCCAAATTGAGAATAAACTGAAGGAAATTAAATGGGAAAGAGAGAGAATTATGGAAGACATGCAGAGAGAACAAGCATTGCTAGATCATGCCAGGTTCAACTTTGAAGTCAAGAAACAAGAGTTTATCAAGTATCTTGCCCAGAGCTCATCATATGCCACTCAGGTATTGCCATCTCACAAAACCCAATTGTGGGACCCCACTGGGTTGCTGGTGCTGCTGCTTATTCTTTGCTTCTCAATAATCCATAAATAACTGTGAACATATGTTAAAACTAGGGAAAATGTTACTCCTAGTTCCCTCCAAATATAAGGAAATGGTAAATTTAGTGCCTCAACTATTAAATGTGTTTTTAACTCTTTATTCCCTCATCTGCTCATTAGAAGAAAGATTGTTATAGGTCATTGTATAAGACTATAACCAAACACCAATAAGATTTACATTTCAAAATTAACTATTGTATTTATAATAATCCAATTTTACCAAAGAGAAACAGAGTAAAATTATCGAAGTTAATAGTTCGGAACAATTTATATCATTGCAGTTGATTGCAATTATCCTAGTATCCATAGGAATCAGACTAATCATTAAAGCAATATATATGGAGTATATCATAAACAAAATTATTCTTCTAATGAGTAGAGAAAAACACTTAAAACACTACTTCAATAATTAAAAAATTCATCTATTTGTTGGAGGTGGAGACACTTACAATTAAGGGAAGCCCTATTGTTGGAAGGCTACAAGTGCCATTTTCTCTCAAAAGTAATCCGATCCTCGTTCTACCAAACCAAAGATCTTGTGTATGTTAGTCAAGGCACTACAACGCCAATTTTGAGTGTTTTTCACTTTCTGTTTTTTCTTTCCATATCCGGAATTGTATCCCCTTTCCTTGATATATAAAGTATGTGAACAAATGTCACAGATGCAGCAGCAGCACCAGCTTTAGTATTAGAGTCTTGAAGGGGGGGACATAGTGTTTTCCAATGTGCAGAACATAGAAGAGAAGCTCAACAACTTTGTCTTTGCAACATAAGCTTCATCTTCTTCCATGGCTGCCTCATTTTCTTCTTCTTCTTTTGTGTATGTATATGTCGATTAACGCCCCAGCTTAGTCTTAGTGTTCAGGCATTATATTTGTGCCATTTTTTTCATATACTTGAATGTTTTTTTTGGTTCTATGTTAACCCCAGTCAATGTTTCTACTAGACTTTAGGATGTGCCATGACATCAAATGTACACTATACACTGCAGCATAACAGCATGATGACCATTGCTTAGTATGTATGCCTGTTTGTGTGCTAGAAATGAAAGGTTTGTTTAGTTCAATCTTTTCACAAGAGTATTTATTATGCTTTTGAAATGTTGTAAGGCCTATTTAGCTTTTTATGTAAGGGGGGCTTCCATTTTGAAAGATTATAATGTGGTTTGTTTTCGGAATACATTGGAAAATTATATTGTACCTCCGGATGTACGTAAATCTGGGGATGATCTTGTAATTTTATACCAATTGTTTATGGTTTCTCTAAAAAATGCTCATTTCATTGTGTTTATGTTTCTTTTTTTTCGGCAAATTTTCCCTTTTTAAGTGTACCAGTTTTGTTGTGCTAATACTCAGTAGTCAGTAGATAAAAGGTGTAGCTATTTTTAATTATTTATCCCCATTATGGCTACATCCATTCTGTTTATGGTTAAATGGACAATTTTATCTTTTGTTAGTCAACTTTTAAGGTAAATTTGTCTATTTTACATTTAAAAATGTGGAATTACCCATAATAAAAGTGTATATATAGCAACACTTAATAGATAAACGTCTGTGTTCTTTTTGCCAGAGCTGTAATTTGGAAATTAGAATTTGAAGTATGGAATATAATTAATTGATGTGCCAAATCATTTTTAGTACAAGTATTAGCGAAAAATAAAGTTAATTGTGGGTAGAGTTTAACAAAGAAAAGTAGACTTTATCTTGCAATCGACAAACAAAAAGGTACAAGAGTATGACTCAGGAAACCAGATAATTGGTTCAATCACTTCTTTTTTGTAATTAATGTTACGGAGTATCAATTAAATATTCTATCTGCACAAAAGACTTCATACTTCCTTTTTATTTAGGGAAAGAAATAGGTGGTTAATCCTCCGTAACTTAGTACTATTATTATTCTTCTTCTCTAAATAGGTTTTTATCATAAAATTACTTTTAAAAAAATCATAAAAATACTCTATAAAAATTACGGGTTAAATCTTAAGTACATTATTTTTATTTTATTAATTTGCATATACGATAGGAGTGATCATTTATTCAAGATTACATATTTATATAAATACACCTTTGTGTTTGACAATATTGACGGTTTTCCACCCCTAACCCTCTCATAGTCTCACTAAAGTACTAAACTGCCAACACACTCACACCCCAGCCCGACCTATGCACTCCACCCTAGACATCATTTTTACTCTCTCCAAATGTGTGACTGTTATGCAATATACTAAATGTTTCTAAAATAAAAGTTACTCTGTATTATAATGGTAATATTACAATATAAATTGGTATCTTTCACTTTCTTAACAATCAATTTTAACTACTACTTCCGTTCCTGACTATTTGTTTAGTTTTTACTTTTTTTGGTCAACTATTTTCAATCTTTGATTTATAATTAAATAAAAAATAAATTGTATATTAATTAGATAAAATAATATTTTAAAATATTTAGTATACAAAATTAAATAAAACTATTTTTATATCAATATATAATATCATTTTTATTTAAATTTAAGGTTAAAATTTACCAATTTTGACCGAAAAAAATCAAAAGTAAACAAATATTCAAAAAAAGAGTACATAATTTAAAATAAAAAAGTTAAGTTTTTATGACCGTGTGTATATAAAAATAATTTATATAAATTCACCTTTGTGTTTGACAAATAAGTCATATCTGTATAATAATGTAAATTTTGGTTGTGTATATACGGATTTATTGATAAAAAGTTGTCGTGGATTGGAAGTATTTCCAAGCTTTATCCGAAAATTCTTTAATTTTTTAAATACTCCGTAATTTCAAACTCCTAATTTGAAAAATCATGCTTTAACATACTAAGAAGAACGCATCACGACCATCGGATGAAGGCCGGCGTACCCAAAATCAACGGCGATCCTCTTTTCTCTCTGCATTTTTCCGTCCGACAAAGAAGAAGAAGATAAAGAGAGAGAGAGAAAGCTAAGACGAGACCCATTATTGGGGATCGGGGGTTGCTCGGAATCGCGCCCTCCGCCTCTCTCTCTCTCTTCTTTCAAATTCTTTTGACATTTCTTCTTTCCCCGCACAGAGATTCAAAGAAGAAGAAGAAACCCAAAAGAAATTGAAAGAATTTATAGATATATATATATATTTGAAAATGGATATCGATAGCATTGAGTGCGTGCCGTCGCCGGATATCATGGACGAAGAAGAGATTCCGTTATCGCAGCGCCATCATCGCCGCCAGAACAACTCCTCGTCCACTAATAAGCCCCACAGCAATTCGTTTCCTTCCGCAATTGCCCCTACCAGCGTCCATGATTTGCTGGAATGCCCCGTTTGCACCAACTCCATGTACCCTCCCATTCATCAGGTGCTTGCAATTCCATTTATTCATTAATTGATCGGTTAATTAATTTCATGATTTGTTTATTGCCCAGATTATTCATTTCCCTTGTCAAAATGTTTGTGTATAAATATTTACAACCTGTTTGCAGTAGATGAGGAAATTGGATGGATCTTAGTGTAGTCTTTGTGAAATTTTAAATATATACCCAGAAGTATATTTTGCTTCATTTTGTATTGGAAATCATGGAAGGGAAGAGGTCTTGGGTGCGTTTGGCTCTGTTGAGCACTAATCAACATATAAAATGAATGTTGACTGGTTTGCTTGAGGCCATATATAGATCTCTTGAGCATGCAAACTTTACTTTGGGGATTGAAAAATCCTAGAGGCATATTTGTGTATCCTCTCTCAGTCTCTCTTCTAAATAACCATGAAGAGAAGCATTGTTAATGTCTAATTGGTAGATATCCCAATTATTATAGGCCACCAAAGCTAATAAGCATCTTATAGTGGACACTTTGATGGCAGACGAAAAAGTCTCATTTTAGTCAATGCCATGTTTTGTGGTAGCCACTTTCCCCGGATAGCAAGCTTAGCCCTGAACATTTCCGAAGCTCAGTCATTATTGCTTTGTCTCTAGAGGTTTGGACTGGCTGGCCAGCACACACACAAACATGCACATATACTACTTGCAAAATATGCAATTACAATAGAGATGAAGGAGATTACAAAGGAGATTCCTTTAATGAAGATGAAATTAAAGGTGAAGAAGAAGAGTTTTCAGGTACTGCAGAAGACTCAGGACTTCAGGAGATGAAGGAGATTACAGAGGTTCTGAGTTAACATGATACAAGAAAATGGAATGCAAATCCGGTTGAATAGGAGCATGGTTAAATAGGTGTTCGAGGTATTAAGAAAACACCCAAAAGGATTTAGCCTTAGCCCCCTTAAATGACTTGAAGCAAAACAAAGGCAATCAAAACACCTTAGATGAATACTTTTTAAGATGAATATAAGTTGGTTTGTGCTGGAAATCTATTTCATATGGGGTTTTGTTGTGAACAACTGTTGGAGGAAATCTATTAATGAGGTAACAGTCAATGAAAAGACAATCACCTCAATATTTGCTAGGTATAGAAAATTAATGTTCTAGTAGTCTCGAGGAGGTCTTTATGTTTTCTTTCAACTATCCCATGAAAACATCTTCATGCACACTCAAAATAAACTCTCCTCAGAGAGATTTTATACACCATCAAGTATTAATTCCAAAACCATGTACAATACTTTGTGATAATCTGTTTATCACTTTATGAGAGCAGAAGATGTAGATGGGGATGCAAAATGTGAATGATGGGAAAGTGGGGTCATATGTATATCATGTTCTTGCATATACACATATTATGCCTGCTTAGAGATTGTTATGGATCAACCCGCACGTCATTCCACCCTTGCCTTCTCTGCAACAAACTTGTGCCCAATTAGCATTCTGTTGCAATTTAAACCCACAACCCACGAGTACAATTAGCAGGGATCATATGTGTTGCAGGAGCAGGGGTTCTCTCCACACTCACAAACATATTCTGAGATCCAAACATTTCGTATAGGACTAGAAAAAAGTGATTCTAATGAATTTTGGATTAGAAAGGGCAAATTATATGTGTAAGAAGGAAAGCACACACAGATCTTTGCACATGGTTAGTTTTTAAATACTTCTTTTAAGGCTAATAATGACAATGTGAATTATCTTTTCTTCACAGTGCCACAATGGTCACACGCTATGCTCAACATGTAAAGTAAAGGTACACAACCGATGCCCTACTTGCAGACAAGAGCTTGGTGACATTCGGTGTTTGGCTTTAGAAAAGGTGGCAGAGTCACTCGAACTTCCCTGCAAATATTTTTCATTGGGGTGTCCAGAAATCTTTCCATATTACAGCAAGCTTAAACATGAGGCGCTTTGCAATTTTAGACCGTACAATTGCCCATATGCCGGATCGGAGTGTTCTGTTACTGGGGATATACCTTACCTGGTTTCTCATCTAAGAGATGACCATAAGGTTGACATGCACACCGGATACACCTTCAACCATAGATATGTCAAGTCCAATCCTCGCGAAGTGGAGAATGCCACATGGATGCTCACTGTAAGTGGACGGCTACCTTACCTCCTATGATTGATGATGGTATACTTATTTAACATCATACAGTATATTGTTTAGTTACTTGTTTCTATTAGAAACAAGATAGTTGTTTTAGTTGCCCAAACCATCTTTGTTCTCTAATATTACACTTAGGAACCAATTCAATCAAAAGCTCAAACTTTTGCATGTGAACTTCAATTTTTTTTTTTAAAAAAAATAGGTGACTGGAATTCGAACTTCTGACCTCCTCTAGATCAACAAGACTCTAATACCATCTTAAAAAACCAGCTCAACCAAAAACTCAAGTTTGTGGTTGAAGGTTTAGAAAATATTTCTAACAATAAAAATGCTAAATGCTCATCCTCCATCACTCCTTGTTTGACATTTCAAGGATGAAGAGTGAAATGACTAATTCATCCTCATTTTATGACATAAGCTGCATTAATGTTAGGTCCTCTATTACAGCATTATGATTATGCTTCTTGTGGTTAGGTCTTTCACTGTTACGGACAGTACTTTTGTCTTCACTTCGAGGCATTCCAGCTGGGCACAGCACCGGTTTACATGGCCTTTGTCAGGTTCATGGGGGATGAGGCCGAGGCGCGCAACTACAGCTACAGTCTTGAAGTAGGAGGAATCAATAGGAAGCTAATTTGGGAGGGTACCCCTAGAAGTATAAGGGACAGCCACCGGAAGGTGAGGGACAGCCACGATGGCCTTATCATTCAACGCAACGTGGCCCTCTTCTTCTCAGGCGGCGATAGGAAGGAGCTCAAGCTTAGGGTCACTGGGAAGATTTGGAAGGAGCAGCAAAATCCCGATTCTGCCCCTGTCTGTATGCCCAATCTTTGTTTGTAGCAGCAGTTAACGCCGCCCCTCTGCCACCACCACCCGCCACAGGGGTGCTTGCATGAGTGTCTTTCTGCTCTGTTGTTAATTATTACTGCTAATGGTAATTGTGCTACGTGAAGATTTTATCCTCTCTTCTTTTTCTTTTTTTTTACCTTTCAAATTTCACGCTAGCTTTTCCACTGTAATCTGTAATAGCATCGACTTAGATTGCTAAGAAATGCTTGTCATAGACACTCATTTTCTTGACCTTTTTCTTTTTCCAACAAAAAAGCTTCATTGCCATTATTATTATGAGTGCTTCTATCATAGATTTTTTCTCACATGAGTAAATTAAAAAAATTAAAAAAAAGTTGGATATTCTAAGAAGGTTCATACTTGGTATTTCTTATATGAGCCTCAAGTCTATACAAGTATTTTAATTTTTACCCATTAATATATACTCTTGTAGTCCTTCAGAGTAATACATTCAGAAATGATACATAAAATCTCAAGTCATTGTCATTGATTTGTCACTAATTAGACTTCTTAAATTAGAGTTTTATCACTATAAAAAATTAGAATCACAAAAAATTGATATTGTGCAAAGAAAAAATGAAACTTGGAAAGCATGGGCGAAGAATACTTAGATGTATGAAAAGAAAACACAAATTTCACGCTGAACAAGAGAAAATGTATAAGTAGGAACACAAATTTCGCACTTAAAAGAGACAAAACACATACAATGGGTGTTTCTTTGTGCTTATAAGCTGGACAAAATAACTTATAAGCAATTTTTAACTTATAAGTCAACAGATGATGCGTTTCTGTGTGCTTATTATAAGCTGACTTTTAAGTCAAAAAATGCAGTAAGTAGGTCTTACTTATTTTTAAATCAATTTTTTCGTTTATCTATTTTAACCAGATTACTTACAAAATTTTTCCTCACCCATAATCAATATTCTCAAATGACTTGTATATTATTCCGTATTGAAGTCAGTTTATCTACACGAAATAATTTTTAACTTATAAACAGCTTATAAGTTAAAAACTACTTATAATTAATAAGTTAATAAGCACTAGCACAGAAAAACACCCGGCCGTCAAAATAAATAACATTACGAGAAACATGTTTATTTCACGAAAACTACTTAACCCAAAGTGTCAAAAACAATTCTTGTGAATACATAACATATAAAAATCAAATCTTTTGATGTTATTTTATTGAAAAAATTACACAATTTTATTGGAGTAGATAAACGAAGAGTTGCTGACATGTCGAAGTGCCATTGGTCTGATAATGTAACGCCTTCAACTACGTCCACATCCGACATGTCTTGGTGACTAAGTCTTCTTTCTCATTACTTTTTTTTAATTAAAAATCAAAATTAGGAATAATATTAATAATCCGTACATTATTAGCTGCCATAGCCAATCTAAAAGACGAAAAATCTCATCCTATTCCCACGTACTCCGTAATAATTTGGATATTACGTGTATATCTGTCACTTTTTACCCCGTATTTCTTTCTTTCTTTTTTAATTTTTAAAAATCTTTATTAAAAAAACTGATCTTTCTTTTTTAACGTTGGGTAAAATTCCAGAAGAAAATGGCCAACACCGTCAAGATCCCCCTTTTCTTTTTCACAAAGATTGCAGCTTTTACTGCATTTGTACCCCTGGGTATATAATACCCATCGATCGGGTAGAAATTTCATCTCAATTTCGATCCGCCCGCCCTCAAGAGTCAAATGCCACAGCGGAGCAGGAAGGTGGTTTCCCAGAACCTGACCATGGGGTAGGACTGTAGGGCGATCGATCTTCTTCGTCTTCTTCCCGAAAGTCCCAATGTTTCTTTGATCGATCTGTCTCACCATTTATTGTAAGATGTTCTATTTCATGCCTCTGTGATTTCTCATGTTCCATCTTTACAGGATAATTATTTCTGGTCCAATTACTGTTTGCATTTGTTAACAGTTAAACCCTGCCCCTCAAACCCTAGGGTGGGGGGTGGGGGACATTTCCTTGCTTGAATTCCATTTCCGAGGCTTTGTGGCTTATAATATGTGTTAAAGATTCAGCCTTTAACATCTTTGTGCTTCAATTTTGCAGGAATTGGTGATTCCTTCTATAGGTTTTAGGGTTGTCCGGATTTGGGTGTTAGGGTTGATTAGTTTATCCGGTTGAGATGCTTTTTTGATGATATAATACTGCAATTGGTATTTAGGAGTAATCTGTGAGGAGGAAGGGGAATCTAGAAATCCATAGCATTATATAGACCACAATGTCGACTGCAAGTGTTGCACTAAGCCCCGTGCCTGAGCCGTGCGGTGTGGGCCCACGGGAGATGCAGTTAAACGAATCTATTCTGATTTACCTAACTGTTGGTGGGACTTTGATCCCAATGCACATTCTTGGATCAGATTCGATTGCTTCAGTGAAACTTAGGATCCAGAGGTACAACGGGTTCTTTGTGAAGAAACACAGGCTTGTATATGAAGGAAAAGAGTTGGCCCGAAACAATTCCTTAGTGCGTGACTATGGTGTCACTGAGGGCAATGCACTGCATTTGGTTCTCAGACTTTCTGACATTCAAGCAATCACTGTTCAAACTGTTTGTGGGAAGGTTTTTGAGTTCCATGTGGATAGAAAGAGAAACGTGGGCTATGTGAAGCAGAGGGTTGCTAAGAAGTTGGAGGGACAGTTTGATCTTGAAGATCAAGAATTGATCTGTGATGGTGAGGAGCTTGAAGATCAGACGGTTATAGATGACGTTTGTAGAACTAATGACGATGCTGTTCTTCACTTGTTGGTGCGTAGATCAGCTAAAGTTAGGGCTAAACCTGTCCAGAAAGATTATGAAGTTTCTATTATTGCTCCTGAACCAGATGGTGATGTTCTCTCTGTGAAATCTCTGGAAAAAGTTTTCATCTTGGAACCGCTGACTATTAACCCGGAGTTCCCGCTAACCCCAGAAATCAAGAATCTAATTAGTGCCACTTTTGAGGGTTTAAAGATGGGAAAAGAACCAATTAGGTCAACCGAGGGAACGGGAGGTGCATATTTTATGCAAGATTCATATGGTCAAAGGTACGTCGCTGTGTTCAAACCAATTGATGAAGAGCCAATGGCAGCTAACAATCCTCGCGGGCTTCCTTTGTCTACAAACGGTGAAGGGTTGAAGAAGGGGACACGCGTAGGGGAAGGGGCGGTGAGGGAAGTTGCAGCCTACATTTTGGATCACCCAAGAGCGGGCCCACGCTCAAAGTCTAGCAATGAGAAGGGCTTTGCAGGGGTACCCCCCACAGCAATGGTCCAATGTCTTCATGATGGGTTTAACTATTCGGATGATGGGTATCAGTATTCCTGCAAGAAGGTCAAAATCGGATCTTTACAAATGTTTGTTGAGAATTCCGGAAGCTGTGAGGATATGGGTCCCAGTGCTTTCCCGGTGGAGGATGTGCACAGAATCTCAGTGCTTGACATTAGGCTGGCCAACGCAGACAGGCACGCTGGGAACATTTTGGTGGTCCGTAACGAAAAAAGGGAAACGTTCCTTGTTCCAATCGATCACGGTTACTGCTTGCCAGAAAGTGTAAGTTATTCATCTATTTCTCTTAGCATTTGCTGTGACAGCTTTTGTTCCCATTCAGCTTATATTACAATATGTTAAGCTTCTTAGCTTTGTCCTGGTGAATTTGTTGCAAAATTATGTGACACTGTTATAGCGAACATAATGAAATATGCATACAATCATTATGATGATATACTAGTATTGAAAAGGCCTTTTCTTTATGACTATATATGAGCATTGTTTGCCTATATGATGCAGTTGGAAGATTGCACATTCGACTGGCTTTACTGGCCTCAAGCAAAGCAACCATATTCTCCTGAGACAATTGCCTACATAAACACGCTTGACGCCGAGGCAGACATTGACCTTCTCAGGTCTCACGGATGGAACCTTCCGGAAGAATGTGCTCGCATTCTCCGCGTCTCCACCATGCTTCTGAAGAAAGGCGCAGAGAGAGGGCTGACCGCGTTTGACATTGGCAGCATGATGTGTAGGGAGACGATAAGAAAGAAATCTTTGGTTGAAAAGATTCTGGAAGAGGCTCAAGAATCTGTTCTACCAGAGACAAGCGAAGCTGCTTTTGTTGGTTCTGTTTCTTCCATCATGGATCGGCACCTCGACGAGCTGTCAGATTCGTGCAAGTAAATAGAAACCATGCTCCATATATATGATATGATATGGATGTAAAATCATGTTGAAGATGATGTGTTGATGGTCATTTCCTAGCTCTGCAAAAAGCCAGTTAATACTCTTTGCAAGAGAGGTTTGATGGACTTTGTGAGTTTGGAATATGTATCATTTCCAGGGTGTTTATATATATACTTAAAAAAATTGTGGACTTGAATTAAATAAAACTTGGTGTTCTAAGTATCTTTTATTGATCCCACATATATCCTCTGGCAAGATTTCTGTTCTGTTCTTTAAACCATTTGAGCTGAAGTAATTGACACAGACGTTTACAGAGTTTAGACTTACTAAAGATGCATTATCTCCAATTTGGTATTCCCTTCATCCCAATTTAAATTGCTTGTTATGTTTTACGATGTTTGACTTAATTTATTTTCAAATTATTCTATATGAAAAACGGTGTAAAATTAAAAAATAAAAATTACCTAGTTAGAAACTAGATGTATAAAACTAGTAGTGATATGATATATTACTTTATCAAATTACTAACAAAAATAAGAAAAAAAAATAAATCACATTTGACTGTATGAATAGTACATAACCATTTTAATTTGAGGCGGAGGAAGTAAAAGTGTATTGATGTTTTTAATTCATACTATCCTTATGGATTGAGTCGTTTAATTTTTTGTTTTGTTTTTTTAAATTATTGCATGTTTTGCATATTGATTAAAGTTATTAATATATTAAATAAAAGAAGTAATGATAAATTGTTTAAAACTTATAGTATTAGAAACAAACTATGAACATTATTTGTATGAATAGGAAACTCATTTGAACCTCGAAGTATTTATTTGACGGTCCAAATGTTTTTAAAGACAGTCTCTATAGAATTTTGACTATGTAAAAAACAATTTTTTTGTGTAGAATAGACTATAAAAGGATTTTATTTATGGAGTAGACTGACTACCAGTATATTTTTAAGACTGAACCCCGTGCCTCTCGCATGCGAAGCGAGCGCTCTACCATATGAGCTACACCCCCTTTGATATATCTGGTGATTGTTTTTTAATTTAACTATCACAGTTACAGGAAAGAAATGGAAAGACGAAGTCTGTGATTATGAATTGGGCCAAATCAAAGTCAGCCTTTTTGGTCGGGGGGAAGTTGGCGGCCACTATACAGAAAAGTCCACCAACCCGTCTGGCCCACCACTCTTATTACCCCCTCCCCTCAAGTGGCTTTGGGTGTGATGTTGTCTACCCCACCCAACTGAATCACGTGCACTATATAAACATGTCCCTCCTCCTCACGTGATCACACCCTCTCCTCTCCTAAAACATCCCCCCCAAGAGGGCAACTCTAAAATTTTGAGCTCTTTTAATTATTTATCTGATGATAAAATTTCACCATCAATTAAATTAAATTTTATTAGATATTAATAGAAGAATAATTTATTATATTTATGTTATAAAATAGTCTTAAAATATTATTTTATGTAATTATTAGACCAAGTAATTTTTATTAAATTAAAAGTCAAACATCAATTATGATCGACTGCAAAATTTTCAAACTGAACGAATAGACAGAATGAGTAAGATTTTGTAAAGGCTGTAGGATGATATTGTTTAACTTTAACGTTTTTGAAGTTAATTTTGATCATTAAAAGTATCCAGAACGTTAATACTAAGAGAAAACATCTTCTCAAACGAGGAAGGCTTATATTCGAGCTTCAAGTCCTATACCGAGCCCATTAAAATAAGAGGAAAATGTCGTGCGTGAACTAATAAAGAGTTGGATTTGTCATTTGTTTAAAGTTTGAAGAATATATGTCTTTGAAGTACACATTAGTTTTATAAGTAAACTCCCTTAAATGAGAGTAAATCATGTGTAATATTCTTAAGAGTAAATTTCATAAAAGGTCACCAGTTATAGCTTATTTTACATATTTAGTCTTTATATATCAAATGTCAATAGTTTAATCTTCAATTATTATATTGTTTTTGCGAATAATCCTTTGTTAATAATTTTGTCCCCATATAAACTCATCTAAGAGTAATCCCCACACGCCTCATTCCCAAAATAGATCTTGGCATCTTCGCGATCCATTCCAATCTCTTCGCCGCCTCTCTTCCCCCCACCCTCTCATCATTCAAAAGTACATAAAAATTCTATAAAATCAGATGCGATAAGAATATTTTATTTTATCAAATGGTCAACTAAAACTAGTAACTCAACAAAAGTGATCGAGAGCCCGAAATACTTATTGTGACATTTTTTTTGGGATGGAGGGATCGAGGAGCATCTCTTAAAATTTTGATCTCGCGTTTCACATCTGACTTATTATTCGTGTTATATTGTACATTTTCTCTGATTTAATGCGTGACATTTTTCAAAAAATTGGTGAAATGATATACTCCCTCCGTCCCCAATTTGATTACAATTTTTTTTTATATCTCCTTTCGATAACTTTTGTTTGTTTACGCGATTTCATCAAGTATTTGATAAAATAAAATATTCTTGTCACCTCTTATTTTGTAGAACTTTTGATGTAGTTTTTTAATATGTAATTTTTATAACTTATTGATATACCAATTTGTAAATAAAATGATTTCAAAAAATAGAAAATTTTACTCCGTAACCCGCAATTTGTAATCAAATTGGGGAGGGAGGGAGTATATATATATGTGCATGAAAATAAGGAAGAAGAATATTCAAGAAATGATGCTCCGGACCGGCCCGGCCCATATATCGACAGGAGTCCCTATATAGTTTTTGTCACCTACCCAATGCCAGGCTGAACATATTTGTTGTACTTTGGAAATATCTCTTTAATCAATATGCATGCAATGTTTGAGATCATAAATTAATTCATTATTGTTATTATTAAAGCCATGCCTTCAATTATTCCATCTCCCGTCACCTCGAAAAAAAGAAAACATATTATTTAAAAAAATTAATAATAATAAAAGAAAAGATAGATAGATTCTCACCCCCAACAAACAATTGCCATATTGTATGTACCAAGAAAACAAATGCCATATTATGTGTTCAATGGGGACAATATATAAATGGACCTAAATATTTATGTGCATAGTACATATACTTATTATTTGTTTTCAAATTTCAAATTTAAAAAAAAAGATGAGCTCCATCCCCGAGAATTTCCTCAGACCCGGCCGAACGGTCACTGAGAAGAAGTGAATTAGACTTTGATCGAAAATTGATGGTAAAGAGTGGAACCTGCAATTTCATGTGATGATTATGATCGACTTTTGTTATGTATGATGTATCGAATTATATTGAATAAATATGTGTTGACTTGTTCATCCCACATCGGCAATGCAGCCTTATATTGTGCTGCAATTTTAATAGCTTGAGTACCTCAACTTCTTGAGTCAACTTTTGGGGCTGAATTGGGCCCAAGTCTATTGTTTTAACAATATGAAACTAACATACTTTGTTGGAATAATACAAAATAGTTTTATTGTTGTGACTGTACTTAGAAACATAACATATTCTAAGTTGATTATGTACCTTAATGAAGGTGATCAAGTCACACGTAGTTCAAAACAGGGTTGGTTAAATTAATTGGATAAATCTTCAATGTGCGCGATACATTGGAATGCTTTCCTAAAAGTTTTTTATCCACCTTATTATAAGCAACAAGGGTTACAAGATAAAACTTTTGGGATGCAACGAAGGAGACCAAATTGTTCGGTTAATTTAACTAACCCTGTTTTGAACAATGTGTGACTTTATCCCCTTCAATGGGGTACGTAGGCAACTTAGAATGTGTTATGTTTCTAAGTACAATCACCATAATAAAACTAATTTTTATTGTTCCAACATATTTCACGTCTATATTCATCTATTTCTCAATGTGTATAAAAAAATAACAACAATCAGTTTAAAAACGAGGATGAGTACTTTTTTACCTTTTGTAATAAGGAAAATATCTTAAATAAAAGTAAAATATAAAGAAAAAATTAAAATAAGAGTTTCGTATTTTTATCTCCAAAGTAATATTTTGCATTATGATAACGTGATACTCTATATAGACATTTAACAATACTTTTTGCCTATTTGGTATTATATATTGGCATGATTGACATTGTATTTGCATAGTAACTCTTGTTTTGGGTTTAAAAATATGGAACTTCTATCTTGATGATTTTTCATGTATTACTCATACTTTATTCGTCCTTGAGGATTTATCCACTTGTGACTTTTTCAGTTAATTGTTTTCAATTCTTGACTTATAATTAGATAAAATATTCTAAAAAATAATTTATAAAATAAATCTAATAAAATTATTTTTATATCAATATCTAATACTCCTTCTGTCCCGAATTAGATGTCACGGACATTATTGTGGCTTCTCGATAACTTTTGTTTGTTCGTATATTTTTATTAATAATTTGATAAAATAAAATATTCTTGTTATTTCTTATTTTATAGAGTTTTTTTATATATTTTTAAATGATACAATTTATATCTTTTATTTCTATACTAATTTGCAATTAAAATTATATTTAAAATAATACTCTCTTCGTCCTCAATTTGATTATAAATTGCGGGTTACGGAGTAAAATTTCCTACTTTTTGAAATCATTTTATTTACAAATTGGTATATCAATAAGATATAAAAATTACATATAAAAAAACTACGTCAAAAGTTCTACAAAATAAGAGGTGACAAGAATATTTTATTTTATCAAATACTTAATGAAATCGCGTAAACAAACAAAAATTATCGAGAGGAGAAAAAAAAATTGTAATCTATTTAGGGACGGAGGGAGTAGAATTTTACACATTGTTTAGTGTGAGGTGTATAATATGAGGGCGAGGGAATATCCCTTTTATTTACGGAGTAATTTGTACTCCCTCCGTCCCCAATTTGATTACAAATTGCGGGTAACGGAGTAAATTTCCTACTTTTTGAAATCATTTTATTTACAAATTGGTATATCAATAAGCTATAAAAACTAAATATTAAAAAACTACGTCAAAAGTTCTACAAAACAAGAGGTGATAAGAATATTTTATTTTATCAAATACTTGATAAAATCGTGTAAACAAACAAAAGTTATCGAGAGGAGAAAGAAAAAAAAGATTGTAATCTATTTAGGAACGGAGGGAGTAAGAAATTTTCCAAAAATAGTGACTAGTGAGAAGTACAGAGTAAACATGCTGGGACAGATATCTACAAGATGCCGAAGATATCGGAAACAAATGCAGGCCACATAATTGTTTTCCACATTCAGTGAAAATGCACAGTTATTGAATGAACAAGAACATTCATCTTCAATTTTAACTACCACTGCCACTACTTTGTTTTACTTGCACACCAATGGTGAAACAATAAGGCTTTCTTGAATAATGTTAGGATATAATCCACATGGGTGCCATTATGAGTGCATCCATGCTTCGCACAAACAAACATAGATGATAATCGTCTGTGTCGCACAAACGATTAACGATGTGTCTGTTTGTGCGAAGTATTAGTGCACTCATGGTAGCACCTATGTGCTGGCACCCTAGCTAGCATGACCTGACTTTGTATGTTTGAGTCGTTAAAATAGAATTTCATGTCAGAAAAATTGGAATAAATCGAACTAGATTTGAAAAAATTGGGAAGAGTTAGAATATGTTGGAAAATTAAAATGTTAAAAAATCACTCAATTAAATTATCACCCAAAAAAATGTATAAAAAACTAATTTTGGAATAAAAAAATTTGTCTTTGTCCGCATTTATGGAAGATAGTTATAAATTTGAATATACAAAGTATGATGTTATTATATATTCTTCATATATAAAAACATTTTTTAAGTTATTTTTTGAAAAAATTGAATGAAGTTCGAATAATCTGAACAAAGTTAGAAAAAAGTCAAAAAACTAAAAATTAACAATTTCAACTCAAATGAATAGGGAAGGAGGGAGTACATAATTATTACTCCCTATAATTTATTGGAATTGACTTTTCTTTGGTTGGATTGTTGGTTAAAATGAATTAAGCCTCCTTTTGGAGCTTTATGCAAACGGCGGCCGACAAGAGTGTTTATATAAGTGAAATTTGCAAACATATCTCATTTTTTAATGTGTGACTTAAATTTTTTTTATTTCATGAATAGTACTTAGGGGCTGTTTGTTTCAGCCTCTTAATAGTTTAGATGTCTGAATTGTTCAGCACTTAATGGTTCAGACTATTTATTTCAGCCTCTTAATGGTCAAGATGTCTGAATGGTTAAGAGATTTGCCTCTGAATGATTACGTATTATACAGAGTCTGAATGGTTAAGACCTCTTATCTGAATTGATCAGACATTTACCTCTGAATAGTTAAGCAATATACTAGCTCTTAATGGTTCAGACCTCTTACTGGTTCAGCACTTAATGGTTCAGACCTCTTACTGGTTCAGCACTTATCTATTCAGAAGTTACCAAACAGCCCCTTAATATCTAATGAGAGAAATAATGTCCATAAATAGTGGACATTCACTTGAATAATGACTAATGGATAATAAGTAATGGTCCTACATTGAGAAATAAAAACATATGGTCGTATATTGAGAAAGTCATTATGTTTGTTTTAGTCCGTAAATTTCTCTCTTATATAAAGTCATGTGTTATGGAATTCTAGTTAAATTTGAGGGGTATGAATTATTTTAATTGGTTGAGATAAAAATATTGAATTTTATAGTAATGAGCTCGACGTTTTAAAAAAAGCGCAACGTTGTGATGGAAGTCACTCCCCTGGAGTCATGCCCTCATAAAAGGAAGACGGCCGGTGAAGCAATTTGAATTTAGCGTGATGGGGCGCGAATAATAATCGCGCCTCATACCCAATGGTCTAAATTTGGATAACATATTAATATATGAAATAAATTTTTGATGATTTTTTGCAACATAAATCCAATGAAATTAATTTTATACCAATATCTAATACTTTGTTTATTTTATTTAATTGATGATTAAAATTTATCTAGCTTGTCATTTAAATGTCAAGACTCATACCTTGGTTCTAAGGGGTATAATGATGGGTTATGCTAGGGATATACCAAATGGTGTATCCTATTTGTACACCATTCATCCTCCCCAATGAACTTTTATTTATTTTTTTTAAATTTTTTTTCCACACTTGAGATTGTGTGGTTGAGATATAGTGGTGTACATTTAGAGTATACTTTTTGGTGTATCCCTATCATTTTTTCGTATAATAATACGTACTTTTTTTTAGATTTGTAACGGAATAATTTCTTCATTTTAACTTGTCAAGATCTCATTGTTACGCTTTGACCATATTAATTCTATACTTCTACTTATATAGAGATGGATCAAGTATGTTATTTCAAAACTATATTTAAAAACAAGTACTACGTAGTGTAATATTGATTTCATAATTAATCAAATTCAAGGTCCACTTGGTACATGAAATTCAAACTATGGAATTGGTATTGAGAAAAATTATTCCAATTTTTCTGTTTGAATGTACAAAAATATGTAGATTTAGAATTGATAGCGCCAAAAAAATTGAAAATAGAGAATTCAATTTCAATTCCCAATTTAATTATAGTCAATTCCGTTTACCAATCGGACATTCAATGTAATCTGTATACAAATCTGAATCAAAGTTTATGAATTTTGAATTGTTGAAGAAAAATATGATGATACATATGTTCGATGCAACGTTTGGAAACAACATAAATTTTAAAAATAACTTTTGAAAATATGAGTGTAGATGGCAATTTTTTTAAATTACAGAAGATCAGAAGATACTAGACCTATTTAGACTAGAAAACTAGGAGAAAATGAAGAGCAATGTGAAAAAAGATAAGGAAAAGAGCTTATTGACTAAACTTGAAGTCGAGGGCATAACTAAATTTCTAGGGAGCTAATAAATTGACTTTTCATTTTGTCTAAACTTGGAAATTGTGTAAAGGTAGAAAAGAACTAAAATACTATTCTCCTGTCTAATAAAATTACATTATTCAAATTCAAAATCACAAATTTTTTTGTTTATTTGTGCGTTTTGATTGATTATTTGATAAAATAAATATTCTTGCCCTTTTATTTTGCACAATTTTTAATGTGATTATTAAATATGTACTCTATGAATGATATTTATTATTTCTATACTAATCTTTAAATAAAATAAATTTAAACATTTTAAATTTTATTTTATTTTGCATAAACTATAAAATATTTTTTAAACGAAGGAAGTATGTATATTTTTCATATGTATATCAAAATAAGAATGGAGCTTCCAATTATTAATACTAAAATGACCTAATGTCAAAATACTATAAAATGACAGTACACAACGCCAAATTCTAATTTTTTTTGAAAACATAAATATTTTGTAATTCTAACATCCATATCTAGAGAATAAAAGTATAAATAAAAAAATGATTTTGATATAAGTTCATCTCTTTAATTTACTTAGGTAGATTTGTTTGTGGTAAGAGTGGTAGAATGTTGCAGCATAAACAAAAAAGCAATCATAGCAGAAACCAGAAAGTGGACCTCCCCGCGTTCTTTGGGTTCTTTTGCTCTCCCTTTTCACTCTCATCGCCTCTCTCTTTCCCTCTCATTTGTTTTTTAGCCTCCTTTCTCACTCCCATCAATATAAGGACCCCCCCTTCTCCCAATCACTCCAAATCCCTCATTCAATTCATTTCATTTCATTTCATTTGGAGCAGAAACTGAGAGAGAAAGAAAGAGAGATGTATGCAGAAAACGAGTCAATCTTTCCATACTTCCAGAACTTTCCCCAAGAAGTTCAACAGCTTGAAGACTTCTACTGCTCACAGAAACCCAATGCTTCAACGGTGAATACCCTTTTCTTCTTCTTCTTCTTTGTTTCTCTCTCTCTAACAATGGGAATCCACTTTTTTTACGATTTACTGCTCAATCGGCATTTCTTGAGCAGTAAAAGTTTTCAGCTTTTATGGGCAATTCTTGATTCTCTTGGCTAGGAACCTGGGGTTTTTAACCCCTTCCTCTGATGCAATCTTCTTCGTAATTTTAAAGGGTATTTTAAATTTCCAGATACAGCTTCAGATTTGGTTTGATTTCCCCAACTTCGAGGGAAATAAACATAGCAGAACAGTAAAAAAACATAATTTTTCGTCCTATGCTTCACTAAGGCAAGGAAGAGAAAGAAAAATTGAAGTCTCTGATTTATTTGCTATAAATAGAAAATATCTGAGCTCTTTGATGGGTTAGATGTGGATCTTTGGACACAAGATGATATTGTCTATATCAAAATCACAATCACCAGTTTCGTGTGGACTCTTCTCTTTCCCAAAATTTCCACCAATTTGACAAGCGGCTATGAATTACTTCTATTTGTTTTCATGTTTTTACTGATTATTGCTTCCTGATTTAGTTGCATACTTTTTTCTCTGTTTTCGTTTGTCCGGATTATTTGCACAATTTTCATATTCAATAAATAAAGTATGACTAAGAGTCTGAAATAATCCCGGGGAGATGTGATATAAGCATTCTTGACATGAATGACTTATGAGTGCATACTCATTTGAAGGATTTCATTCCCATTTTAAACTCATGTCTTGAAATGACATTTTTAGAAAGGAGACGGCTAAATACGTTTAAATCATTTTTAGTCCATTTAAATGAGCCTCCATTTTGTGAGTAGGCATTATGTATGAACTTCCTATTACAATCTTCTTAAGATGGATTCGTGAAAGTCAGGGTAAGATTGCGTACATCTGCGGTTGATTGCGGGAATAATATTGGGTTGTTGTTGTTGTGATAAAATCAAGATGTCATCATGGACATCAACTAGGTGAAAAAGTTGGAAAGAAGCTAATAAAGAAAAGCTGACTTTTCTAAAAAATGTGCATAGTGGGACTACAGAAGTGGTAAATGGTGTTTCTTTTACAACAAAAAGTTACTACATGATATATATATATTTCTGCATCTATGAAGGAGAAGTGGGAGCCATACATTTCTCTTAGTGCAATTTGAGTGGTCTGGTGAGAACTTTTTTACCTTTTGGGGGGGACTAAAAAGCCCTCCAATTGGCATTCCCACCTTACCATATAACTACATAAGTTCCTTCTTATAGCTGGAAATGCTGGCCTGCTCATTACAACTGTACAAAATATATTTGTGACAAGTCCTATTCATCCCCAAACACCTTAGTTGTGAGTGGGTTCTCTTTATTCCTCTAGATGGGCATGAGCAATATCTCTTGGGAAGCAATTTGGTTCTCCCATTTAAATTCCATAACAAAATGTGTGTATGGCTTTAAAAAGAAGACAATGATTCCCCTTTTTCATTTTTTTAATATTAAAGTCACTTGATGCTTTACTATTATGGAGTATTTTTCCACCTATAATATAATACGGAGTATCATTTGAGGGTTAGAAAATATTCTTATGTATTAAGTTACTCTTTAGTTTCCCTTATGTATTGTGGTGTCTAACAATATACTTGTTATCCAACTTGAAACCTATAAATATATTTTATGTTGGGATAATCTCTATTGCTTTCCAAAAACAATGACAACATAGCAAGGTCCCACAAGCGGGGTCTAAGAAGGGTGAGTGTACGAAGACCTTACCCTTACCTAAAGGTAGAAAGGTTGTTTCCGAGATGCTTGTGTCCCAAAAACACACACACACACAACTCCATGGTTTTCCAAAAACAACAACAACAACAACAACAACAACAAACCCAGTAAAGTTCCACAAAAGTAGGGTCTGGGGAAGGTGTGTATACGTAGGTCTTGCCCCTATTCGAAAGCAGAGGCAACATTTTTAACTTATATTATAATCTGTGCATCCTCTCCATGCAGGTGTGTACAATATCAGAATATGACCTTGGAGGAGCGGCGGACCTTTTCAATGCTCCAGAGCCACTTTTTCAAGAACCATTGTTTGACATTGATCCAATGACAGCTGCCATTTCCATGATTTCCTGTACAGATGATGTCATGCGGCCGCACCAAGAGCTTAAAATATCAGACATCGAATCATCATTTGAGAGTGAACAATTCCTCAATGATGCATTCTATGGTTGCAAAGAAGATCTCTTGGCAAAGGATCCGATTGAGACCCCGTTCTCTGAGGCATTAGATATCAGCATTCCCATTGTTGAAAATGATGAAAACTTGACCGTCGAGAAACATTTGACTTCTCAGGGACTGTTTCAGAAAAGTGGAAGTTCGGAATCTCTATGCTCCATGGAGCGCGTGCAAGGTGTGCCCCCAACAAAGCCGAATTTTCTCAATTTTTCCGCGATGGACTTTGGTGCAGTGTATGGTATGAGAAGGTCCTTCAGTGAAGGAGACATAAAGGTTAAAGTTTAATTGCTCTTTATTGTTTCTCATTGTGAGCTTATGTTTCATTAGTTTTCCACTTGCCTTTAGATTTCAAGAAAGTATTATTATACATTACATAAATGGTAAAACATCTACCACTTCCATCCCTAAGAAAGAGTCATGTTTGTAATATTGATTTCACTATTCCAAACATAACTCTTTTTTTTGGAGACGGAGGGAATGGTAAAGGGGGTACTTTGGCACGTCGGTGGGGAGATAACCATGGAAGACAGAAGTAGTGAAGTAGGGTCTCGGGAGGGTGTGTATACTTAGACGCAAGGGAAAAGATTGATGATAGTCCCTCCATTCCATATTAACTGTCTATTAACACATTTTTAGTACATTGAAAAATGAATGAATGTAGACATAATGTATGTCTATGTTCATTCAATTTTAAATGTATCAAGAAAGTCACAATAGACAAGTTAATATGGAATGGAGCGAGTATTGATATGACTTGCCACTTGTGGTATATTCACCTAAACACCTCTAGGGGGTTTTTAATATTCAGATAGACTCGTAGACCGGGCCAAAATATCCGTTTAGGAAAAACGAATTTGCGGGCGGGCTGATCGGGCTGCATGTTTACTAGTACTAGGTTTGGATAATGAAAGTCTACAAGCTGAGAATTGTATAGGTGATGATGTTTGAACAGGGATAGGGCTGGCTCATTGACACTGAGTTTTTATGACAGACACTCCTTGGAAATGGTAATGTAAGCCTCATCCACTCTCCCCTGGGACAGAAGCACCAGATTATCAGCACCTCCATTTCTGAAGCTCGAAAAGAGAAGCTCTCTAGATACCGTAGCAAGAGGAACAAGAGGAATTTCGGCAGGAAAATCAAGGTACGTCTTAGAATATACATACATAAAACCAAAAGATTGACTTTTTTTGGTTGTTGAATTGGTTCTTTGACATGGTATCAAAATCTTGCTGACTAAGTAATGAAGATGAACAATGGCTGACCTTTTTACATGTGTGAACAGTATGCTTGCAGGAAAGTGTTGGCGGACAGTCAACCGCGGATCAGAGGGAGATTCGCGAAAACCGAAGAAACAACAGATGGATCCAAGAAGCATTGACTGCTGCTCTGTACTGAAAACAAAGTTAGAAGAATGTAAAATGGAATTAGTTGTTGGGCAGTGGAAAACAGAAGCTAAACTGTGACCCCTTAAAACCTGCCAGCATTGCATTAGCTTCTTTCATTCCTCCCTCTCCTAGCTATAGATCTGTATGTATTATGTTTGTTGATGTGCATATATAATAAATAAATTCAGTATGTCTACCCATTCTATTCATTCCATCTGAAGTGGACTTGGCCAATCAGACATGGTCAAACTTTATTTACGTTCTTTCTTTATTTTTGTTAGTCATTTGATAAAATAATATAGTCATGTCACAACTAGTTTTGTAGGTCTTTTGATATAGTTTTCAAATGTGTAATTTTTATTTTTTGATTCTACAATATTTCTTATATAAAAATGATTTAAAAATAACTTCTATCAAACATTCTAAACCGAAATAGACGATTTAATTTGAGACAGGAGGAGTAATATTCTACATACCAGTGTATTATATTTATACTTTGTCAGTTCCAAAATAAAAATCATTTTTTTTGTACGTATAAATAAAACTTCATACCTATCTGATTTATTTTAAGAAAAGGAAAGTGTAGTTCAAACTATTTTTCTTTCTAGTTATTCATAGAGTTTTCATCTTTCAAAACATTTGTAAATTTAATCATGAAGTTTGTTTGGGGATAAAGAGAATATTAAGTGAGAACTATTTGGTGATTATTACCGACAAGGATTCTCAAGTTACTTCAAACAAAGGTTAATGCACATTTTACATGGTGACATTAGGACCACAATAGAACAATTCAACATATAAAAATAAGAGTGTTATGATTTGGTGACTAATAGAATTTAAAATTGGGTATGAATCACTAGCTTAGTCATAAGACACTTATGTTGAATTATATTAAATAGATTGAATTTAATATATTAACTAGTTTAACTCAAAAGCTTATAAACTCGCTATATTCTTCTAAATTTTATAATGTGAGATGAACTATAACAGTGACGAAATAATTTCAGATTGTTATTAAAATTTAGAAGGATGAAATACATGCTAATATCTTTAAATATAATAGTGAGTTTCAAATAGAAACAAAGATTTCACAGTATTATTCGCATGATCAAATAATATCATAGATACTTTGAACAAGGAGGTAACCGACTCGGAGAAAGGATTCAAAGATTAGCATTTAGGAACAAATCAAGGAAACAAAGACCATCATCAACGTAACACCTTAAATGTGAGAGGTCATAATATGTTTTTAAATATTTTATATTAAAAAATTGTTTTTAAGTTTTATCCCAATTTTTTTAGAGCTGACCGAGTCACGCATTTAGGAACAAATAAGGAAGAAGAAGAGAAGAAAAGGAAGAAGAAGACATGGCGAAGCAGCTTTGCCGTCAGCTCACGTCAATGATCGCACAGTCTAAACCCGGCTCAGGCATATCGGAGTGTTCCCCAGGTAGGCTCATCTGTTCATCAGCTAAAAAGTTTCAGTTCCACGAAGAGAATCGTCCAGATCTCGCCGAGGCCAACTCGGAGGAGAAGGAGAAGGATAAGCTTCAAACCGAAAACGTCGATCGAGAATCCGAAAACGGAGAGGGCGGCGGAGAAGGCGGCGGCGCTTCCTTCAATAAAAAAGCCAGAGAAATCGGCGGCCCTAAAGGTCCAGAGCCGACGCGCTATGGAGATTGGGAGAAAGGCGGCCGCTGCTCCGATTTCTGAAAATAAAAGCTTCAAGGAGGCATCTTCTACATCTCTTCTTCCATAAATCGCCGTGTCCGTGGTCAAAGGTACGCTGTTGGTTGTAATTTTGAACAATTAAAGCAATTGGAATAATTGAATTCCTTTTTCTGTTTCAATTTGAAGAACTTTTGCATTAATACAAGTCCAGAAAGGTTTGAATTCTGTGGTTATTACCATGATGCTTGAAGAGTTCACATATTTTATTGGTTGTGCTCAATTTGATGGTTACATTCTCTGCAAATTAGTTATTGATGATGATGATGATGAGCTTGTGATTCGTTTCCGCCCTTTGAAGATACTCCGTCCGTATTAGGCAGCAAATTGAAGAACACTAGAGCTATTAACAAAGACTAAATTGTATGGAATGAGATGATTAAGCTCATGTTTGTATGGGGAAATGGAAAATGCTAGTGTTACCCCATAAACATACCTCATTTTGTACACCAGTATATTTTGCACTGACAAGGCACTGGTATGCATACTAGCATTTTGTTTTGCCAAAATGATGTTTCATGGGGTAACACTAACAAAGTCTTTTGTATGAACAACCATGCTAGGTGTACTCAAAGGGTTGTATCTCAAATCATATATCATAGATGTGCACTGATACTTTGATGGTTCACGCTAACACAAAATTTTAGTGAGATTGAAAAATTTTGCACAAGCATTTCGTGGCAGCTTATACATGTCGGTGCACACTTATGGTGTACAGCGTGAGGTACTACCTTTAATGTACAAGTAGCTTTGTTATTTAATGAATAGCGAACTCTTTATTAGGTTTGGATGAGTGTTTATATACGTCCGTCTCGTTTTCGCCTTTTGATAAATTTTACATATGCATTTTCGTGGATCATTTGATAAAATAAAGTAGGTAGTCACTATTTATTTTGTCAAACTTTTGATGTAAACTGTAATATTTATATAGTACATATGTAATTTGTACATTTTTATTTCTATACTATTTTATAAATAAAATTATTTAAAAGACGATCAATTGAGAACGGAGAGAGTAGGACATAATTTGGACCTAACTATGATGGTTATCCCGTTCCCGTTTTGTAAATGGGCTTCGTTTCGGAGTTGAATTATCCAAACTGCTATCGCGACATATCTCAAACGGGCTTCCTTCCGCTATGGAAGGTTTCGCATTGCAGGCCCAACTAATAGCAATATTGACGGGGTATATTGAATGCGGAGTAATTTGTTAAACAATTGGGCCGTTCTTTAATGTTTGTATTTTTTTTTCAAAAACATATATGCAAAAATGACAAATGCACAATCAGCTGTATTTCTTTTACGTCAAAAAAAAAAAACTTAATACGGAGTATAAGTTACTCCGTGTTTGTTACTTTGTATGGAGTATTTTTTAAGACTGAAACTATTTCATCAACACTCTCAAGGAGGGTCAATATAAAATCCCAAAAACACAATGCCATGTTGTGCCATTGCATATCACAAACCCTCCTATTTAATGGATGAAAATAAAATACATCATATTTTGGTATAGATTTAATGTCTAGTCATATTTAGATCGATTTTTTAATTAAAAAAAATCCTCAATCAGATATTATAAATCAAAATAGAAGTATTATTTTGAGACGGTGTCATTATATAAAAATGAAATGAAAATGATTAGATGGGCTTGATGAGTTGATGGGGTACTCCATTTGCTTCATAAAAAAGTTCTATTTCATTTTGTGATATTTAACCAAAGTTAGTTTCATTTCAAATATTATTGAAAATACATTTCAAAATAAAAAAATACAGTAAACATTACATATTTAAAGTTACATCGAATATTCTACTCTATTTGTCCTAAGTTAAAGTCCCACTTTCATTGTACACATACTTTTTTTTTAATGTTATTGACTCTATAATACTCCCTCCGTCCCAATTTAAATCGTCTGTTTTGACTTTTGAGCATATTTAAGGAAAATAAAAATAGAGTTGATTTTTCGAAATTGACATTACTTTTTAGGAGGGGTGATGATAAATGAGAAGATAAGGTGAAGAAGTGTAACTTATTTTAGGGTAGTTTAGGTATTTTATTTTTAAAAGTTTACGAAAACACTAACAGACAACTTATTTAGGACGGAGAAAAAAGGCAAACAGGCAATTTAAAATGGGACGAAGGAAGTAATAAAATATCTGTTCAATCTCTGTTGCGGCTCAAAGTTAGTTGAAAATATCTGTTCAGTCCCTATTATAGTAATACACATAACATAATCAGTTATTATAATTAAATATTGTAATGCCTTTTAATAAAATTAAGATTTTAAGTATTTATTAAACACACACTCTCTTTTGCAAAATGTTTACCACATTCCACAAAATAAAGTGAATTTTTTTATTCATTTTATTTAAAAGTTGGTATAAAGATAAAAAATAAAAGGAAAAATTATCCAAAATAATCCCAACTTTACTCGGTCTTTCAAAAATAATCTCACCTTTCACTGTAATGCATAATAATCCCAACTTTACTGAAATTTGCCAGTTTTGGGTTGCCGTTAAATTTCTAACGGAGGGTTAACGGAAATGCCCGTTTTAGGCAACAAAATGAAAGTAGAGATTATTTTTGATGAATTTCATTTTTTTTATTTTTTTTAAATTTTTCATTTAAATTTTTAAAATTACTTTCTACCTCTATCATCATTTCTTTTTCCTTTTTTAAAGATTAGTCTTAGTTTAAAAAAATAAAATAATAGATATAAAAAAATGAAAAAAATGAGAAATGTAACTAAAATGATACAAAAATAATAAAATAAATAAGGTAATCAATGGAAACTAACTTGAAATTGGTAAAAGTAAAATAAAAATATACGGGTGGGTTTTAATATTTTACGCACTATACAAAGTATTAACATATCAATTCTTATTTTTTATAAAAAATTATCTACAATAATT